GATATCGCGAAACTCTTTGCAATGAGTTTCTTCACACGCCACCCCAGGCGTTTTCACTGTGACACGAGCGGAGCAGTGTTTGGCGACAAAAGATCATGTCCAAAGCTGCACTGTTGGAGAACAATGCAGCAGGGTGGCATATGTAACAGGGTGGTAACCAGAGACAATTTCACACGAGTAGCAAGGGACACGCGTGTAACCGCAAAGTGTGCCCATACGAGTTGTCGATAATGAGCATGCACTTGATTTCCCTGCCAGGCTAGCCTAGCATGCTGGTAGCGCCATGCGGCCATGTCCAGCATTGCCATTGGCAACGCTTCGGTTCCAACCATGTAGAAGATGTAATGCATGTACTTCGTTAGTGTTTTGGCTGGATGACACGCACAAACATGTACAAGGTCTTGTACTTTCGCTCGGCTACACGATCTTATGCACGAAGTCCATGAACAACCGCTGTTCTGAATGATTGCAGCCAACGAATAGCATTCGTGCTCGTACTTCATGATGTTGCACCACTAGTTGCACTGTGCAGATACGCCTCGTGATGTGAACGCTAACCGACACCACTGATACCGCAGCGTTTGGAGCTGCACCGTGTGTACGGGTCATTCAAGTAGTGGTTTAAGGTGCATTATACATGACAAGTATGTACGTGCGGTTAAATCTCTGGATGATTCCTGAAATTCACGTCGCGCTCTGTCACTGTGTCAACTAACGAACGTTACTTCTAAGGTCAAGGCTGGGCACATCTTAGCCTCGTTCTTCCCACTGACTTGGTGACTGGATCATCCCCTTTCTCATCCCGCTGCGCTGGGTCGTGTCGCTCGTGACGATGCGTGATGATGACAGAAAGGAGGAAGTAGTCAGCGTCCGCTCGTCACACATTGCCACTGAATAGACAACAGGAACTTCAGCTGTTCCAGGCAAGACGTGTTGTTGGCTAGGCTGGAGTAGTCCAGTAGGACCTTGACGCACAGCTGCACACATGTGTTCACAACTATAGCCAAGGAGGAATCGTGTGACCTCCTTGACTGGGCAGCGGGCGCTTGTCGTGTGAACACAGGGCGCTCTGCACGATAGAACGATAGAAAGAAAACTCCCCGACTGGGGTTGAGCAATGTACACGTATAGCGCGTTACCCGTCTTGACGGCGTGGTCACTGGTCACGTTCACCCAACACGCTCTTTTCCGCTAAAACACGAAATTGGCGCCGGCTCCTCTTCCGGCCCAGCTAAACGATCAAACTCCTACATGTCCCTTGCCTTCTATCAAGAGTGCAGAGACCGTTTATGTACTCTTGCTTGATGGCACGAGGAACACTCGACGTGCTCTGCTAAGTTGGGCCACTACATGTGCGGTGTGTATATCTGTGTGGTGTACGTTCCTATAACGTTGTCAGTACACTTTGCGCGCCTTGCCAAGACATTTTGTACTCTTGCCGCCTCGTTATTTTAACACTACCTGAATCAGTTCACGACTACAATATGTACAATCATGTACATGCGTTTTCTGTTTTTCTATCCTCCATCATCACAATCATGTTCATGCATAGACTTCTATTAGTCATGGCTGATATGCATCGAGGAATGTTGTTACTCAGGACAAAGCCTCACGCCGTCACAGCATATGCTCATCATGAGTAACCGTCTTGCGAGCAGCTAGTATTCGTAGAAAAGCTGTGGCATCGGAACCACTAAATATTAATAGCATGCCCAACAAGCATCCCGCCGCTCCATCCAACCACACGTAGCCTAAGTCGAGCAAGTACGCATAAACGCTTGTCTAGATTGATGGCGTTGATTGCCCAGTTGAGTTAGCATAGGTTAAAGTTATCCTGGACAATGCGCTGTGCAATGCTGTCGGGACGACACCCCGCCGTATCCCAACAACAGACCTGTAATGGTCTTCAGTAGAACTGATTGCTTCATTACCAGCACATACATACGCATGTCTGTGCTGTGGCAAAGCTACCTATATGTGTGTAGGCGGCGCCCTTGGCTTCGGCCAGCTTAGGAACGATCGATCAGAGTGCACGTACATGCATGCTACCTCTCCTGCAATTGAGCATCAGACAACAGCTCCTATCCAGCCTCATCCTCATCCCCACAGCCTGCAACTACAAGCCACGATGCGATGTTCCGCCGTCCAAGGTTTCTGAGCAGTGAGATACTCTGCGGCCGTGCATTAGATCATAGCAGCCTTGTAGGGAAAGGTGGGTTTGACGAAGCGTCTAGCAGATCAGCACTACACTTCACACATCCACACAAGTTACGCTAGCACTTCATCAGTGACTGTGCTTCCTGGTGCAAGGAGGATGAGAACAGAATCAAGCCATCGCCCCTGGCGCCATCCATCTTGTCACGCTCATCAGCTTCGAATTTGCATGGAACCCCCGAACCTTCTCTCCTCGGTGAAACACAATATTTCCGCTCCTTCGAAAGAAAGTCACAAACGACTGTGTGTATATCATTCCTTATACATCATGCCGTCTACTCGAGAAGTTGTTAGGTTATTCTACACTTGCAAAATGACACCTGAGATATTGCCTGTTTTAGCTTTTTGCGTGTATGAGTAGGGGACGATTGACTCTACCTATTGCGAGAAACATGCAAGAGCCAGCACACCGGTTTCTTCCACCTTCGCACCTCGGATCGCTGCAGTCTACAAGTCGAGCATCCCACCATCATCAGAGGGACGCTGGAATGTTCTCTGCTGTACACCTATCAAGTTTTTCTCCATGGGAGGCGTGAGTCAGGAATGCCTACAATCCGTCTAAAGACTTGGCAACTAACCCGTGCTACTTCACGCCTGCACCTGACTCTTAATCTTGCGCTATGATACCCCTCAGAATTTCCCACCTTGCTCCCCTTATGTTCTGGCTGCCCGTTTTGGAGCCATCAGTTGCCTGATGATCGTAGTAATACGTGAAACTCAGAGTTGTGACACAGCTTCCAATCTCTCTTGTGTATAATTGGCATACATGTAGTCATGGCTGCTTGGAGAATAATGGCCGCTGAACACAGAGCACATTGAACACATTGGCAGGCCGTTGTTTCCCTCTGATGTCGTGATGTCCCTGTGCCTTGTTCAGACCACTGGGACACATACATGTACATGTACATGACTGTGTACAAGTGTTATCAATATTTAATATTGATATTTAACACATAATTATGACCCAAGACTGGCAAGAGTCGACTGTCTGTACATGCGTGTGTTATTCTGTTGTGTCCCGTGATAGCATGTGAGGTTGGGCATTGGGAAATAGGACAAGTAGCCATGGAAACTCCAGCACTCAAGGGAACCGGGAGCAACGCCACTCCCGACTCTAGCCTAAACAGGCATCGACGAAAATGTTGGTTGGTTCAATGGTTGGTTGGTTTATTTTAATTCGCACAATACTCAGTAAACGGGAACTAGGCCCAATGATATAAAGGCAAATGTGACCTGTACTTGATCCGAAACCACTATGATTCTATGAATGTCGTCAACCCTGGTCAATAGCTAACGTTCACCGTCCAGCCCACTTCCACCCAACACCCGAACGAGCTATCCAATACATGTAACTGCAACTAATTACTTCATTACAATGAATGATAGCGTACTAGTACTGTAAAAGCCATTATTCTAACGAGGCGCATAAATAACGATTTCCCAAAATTGACTAGTTTACGTGTACTAAAGGTAACGATTTTCACTCATTCTTAACGCTCAATAGGACAGTATATGTATCGATTTCTGTATAACGATTTCTATTTTAACGACAGATTTCTCCTCGTTAACTCGTTAGAGTTAGCACTTCGTTATACATGTATGGCTTTTACAGTAGATCGAAAGCCCGGCATTGTCCAGCGCCTAGTGGTTTATGGTGGCACTGAGCTCAACGCACACCGTCAGACTCTTTACAATGGAGAGAAAGAGAGAGAGAGAGGAGAGTAAGCTACATCTGCAGTGCTACCCGGTACCCGTACGCGCGGTTTAGGGGATGCAATCTAATGACGCGCTGACTTGAACTCGATCATAGCTGTCCTTCTTGTAACAATCATGGAGTCATGTTCAAGTACAACGAGAAATGCAGTATTCCGTGGTCATGGTGGTACCTTGCAGAAGATACACCGTACACGGATGGTTTGTAGATATGTCTACTCGACAATGTACCGTTCCTCAACATCCCGATCGAGAGCAGATCCAAGATTGGCAAGAATTTGAAGAAGTACACCTTCATCTATGCACAACTTACACAAGATAGCTCTGCTCACTAAGCGCTGACTGGTGCCTCTTCTTTTAGACTAAAATTAGAGGCCAGACCGCGCTGGGAGAGGAAACGAGGTGCGTTTCCGGAGCGCCGGGTGAAACTGGCATTATCAACACTGCAGTCTGTATTAAAAATACATAGCCGAGCGCGAGCGACCGTGAGCACTTTCAGTCAAGTAGTTTCACTATGCGCTGCACTGCGGTGACCTGCTGTATCGTGAACTGACTGGCTAGTCTGTACACGCAGCAGCTCTTCGATTGCTGCCCGGCCCCAACTGCTATGCTGAATCTTTCCCTAGCACTGGCAGTGCAAGGACTTGAAGAGGCGAGGCAGCGGGTATGAGAGGGACGAGTGCAGCTGCTGCCAACTATTTAGTTCAGCGCTAACTTTGTTCCAACTATCCTGCATGATCATAGCAGGCACGCAACGTAGTTTGTTACCTCTCCCGGGGCTACTTTACCGACATCTACGATATAGGTACATTACTAGGACGCAGAGTGGCCTAGTCAGTGAATTGAAGAGTCTGGACTATTCGGAAGGGTTCTGTTATGTCACGACTGGTGCAGTGGTGGTACTTGAGAGCTCAGTGGTCTGGAGTGGTCGCTGGTCAGGTTCTCAGCCACTGCCGTATCTCGCCTGACGTTCCACAACTGCCACGCTGACCAGCGCGAAGCTCAGCTCAACAACAGCAGCAGGATCATCGGTAGCAGCCGGGTGCGGAACAGGCCTTGCAAGCCGACTGTTTCACCTCTGTACACATCGCGGGCTCCTGCCTAAGAACGTCCGTCATTGTCACGACCCCTTATACATGCAATTTACATAGCTTGAGCAAGCAGTCAGTTACGCTATCTTGCCGGGCCGCCTGCTCCGAGAATCGAGAGTTCGAGTTAGTACTCTGCAGGCAGCTCTATCAAGACAAGAGTAAATGTTGACGGTTTTTTCGATAAGACCGTGTTGTTTGTTCGGATAGTTGGGAACGTGAGTCAATCGTGGAACGCAAGGGGAAGAAGAGGGGAGTAAAGGTGCGTGCGTACCACGCTCGCTGGAGTGCACGCAGCTCAGACGCCTAGACGGTGCCTATTGGCGGGACATGCTAAAGGTCGCGCACTGACCGCCGGTTGGTTACTTGGAGAGTGCGAGAGACCACACAGAGAGCTGGCCAGTTGCATGGTTGACCATAGATAGTGAGCAACTATAAAACGTCGTGGGGTGACATTCGGCCGCAGCATCATATGCACACAGGATTATATGAAGAGATTGCGGAGTGGACAAAGTGCGTAGGTAGCCAGTCCGGGAACGGTAGTGCAACGCTTTCCTTGTTGCGGAGATTGACAAGAAGATCCTATTGCAGCGGGCAATACCCACCAAAGAGGACAACAAACAGCCTGCCGACTTCTGTGTCTCCAGCAGCAGCAGACCATTGCTTTCTAATACACCGCACAGGGGTGGCCAGTCTCTGCTTTGAAGAAGCCTGGTTTCTCTCGGCTATCCTCAGTAGAGTTTTGCGCCCGATTCTGAACCTCTTCGCTGTTCTCCAAAGGCGAAGTAGTGGCAGTCGGTGAACTCTGTGTAGTTTAGCAATGAGTCTCCACTTGTCACTGTGCTCCTTGCTGGTGCTGCTCGTATGTCTCCAGCAATCAGCCACAGCGCCCGCCCAGGTGGTGAGCGCCAGCCTAGCAGATGGAAGTTTTCCTTTGCGCGAGCGGCCCCAACATAAACGATCTGATGATGAACAGAGTAATGGGATGACGAGTAATGGGATGACGACGCACAGTCCGTCAGAAACTACCAATGGGCAGGTTGAGGAGCTGCAACAGATGGAGCAGCATGTCGTCCGGGAGCTGTTCCTCATGGATCTCCCGGAAGAGGAACGGCTCGACTCCGACGTGGAGTCGAACTACATGCTGGATTTGTACAACGAAGTGGCGGACAACGACACAGGGATTCTGCGCCCGAGAAAGTCGGGGAAACAGCCTGTGATCTTCGAGAATGTACGCAGCCTCCCGGTCAGAGGTGAGTGACATTCTTGTTCTTATCCGCTATTGCGGTTCTGTATTGTCATTGTCCGCGAGAAATCTTCCCCGCCCTCAACCGATGAAAAGAAAGATATCGTGGGATACAGTCATTGCCCGACTTGCCATGCTTGTTGTCCGTATTTTGATGGTGCGAAAATCGTACATCCCGCCCACCTTCCCCAGGCATTGCTCCTGTCTTGGCTTCATGCAACTACACCAAAATTCCATCGTAACGAGGACGAGAATCGCCGACAAAACATTTTGATAAATCAAGGGGATTAGGCGAGATGTTGATCAATTTGCGAGACCACGCCGGGGGCTGTTGAACATCTGGGTAGAGAGGGTACTAGCTGTGGACATTAGTCGCTGTCCAATTATTATTTGATCAAGGAGTGCAGGCTGGATTGTTGCACCACGGAGAGGAAACTCGGACGGTCTTCCTTTCGCTGTGTAGCGTGTTGACTGTGTTTGTTGGCGAGTAGAGAACCCATCGGAATTCGTCCGCCATTGTGTACTGTACCAGGTCCCGCTGCGCACTGTGCCGGCGCGAACCATGAAGATTGTGTTACTACAGGAATACAGACTGTACAGTGTACATTCATCAGCAGTGCTGACCGGTGACTACGGTAGAACGAATCAGCGTTTGCCGTTTTGGTAAGCAGGCAGGCCCACGCAAGGGCGGTTTGCTGTTGCAGCTAACTATTACTATTTAAAAATAATATTATTCATGTACAGTCATGCAGGTTCCTGCAGTGTAGTGTGGTGTAGCGTGGTCGTAATGCGGGTGAACGTGCATTCCTGCTGCCCTGTGTCCAGTGAGCAAATGTCCGGTGAGCATGAAAGGCTTCTTCTCCTACACATCAGCAATGCAAAGGACATTGGCTATTGTTGACAAAAATATCAATGCCAATGGTCTCAGGACTGGTCAAATACACATCATACTTAGAGAAGTGTCCACCAAGAACAGCATAAAGTGTGTTTCAACTGCATTAATTGTATCCACCAAAAGAAGCCTGCCCAACCTCAGTACTAGTTGCCCAATGATTGCTTTGCTATGATGCGATCATGCATCATGATTCAAGACCTCCCACATACCTTTGTCCAAACAATGCACTGATAGCAAAGCGTTACATGCACAACGTAATACATAAAATTTAATGGCAGTGTACAACTGATGTAGCATTGTCTGAACAACTATTTGGGACAACAGGGTGTGTAGAGTGTTCAGTGGTCGCAATCACTATGTGTAATCTAGTGTGACCTCCCCTATGATGATTGATGCAGAAAAGAGGGGGGGGGGGGGAGGGGGGGGGGGAACCTTACAATGTTCCAAGCTGTAGCTCCAAGTCCAAAATGGTTGCCGTTAAATTCCCCGTACTGCACGTCTTATGTATGTTCAAGAGGGATTTCCTTGTTTGGTAGATCAGGGGATTTTGTTTCAGGAATGCAGGCCAGGCACTTCTTCTCATGCAAAGGCTCTCTGCTTAGCATATTCATTCATTGAAAACATATAACAGCAGCAGGGTTACTAATAGGACTGGTGAATGTGCTAGAGACTCTACTTCTCTACTCAGTGGCCCCTAAGACTAAGTACGTGACTGTGACTCCTGGTCTGACCTATCATATTCATGTGCTGGACCTACTGGTGCCCTGCAGTTAAACTGATGGTCTGTATTCGCCAGGCTACTAACGCCTAGTGGCACATCAGCATGGGATGTGTGTGTGTGTGTGTGGTGATACAGGGCACACGCACACGCACACACACATGGAGGAGATTATTCAGGAATCCCTGTCACTGTCACACCTAGGCATGGAGTAGAAAGTGACAGTGCATGCCCAGGTGCAGCAGCAGTTCCCCTCTCTACTACATACTTGTGGTCTTGAAGGTCTCAAACTACACAATTTGTTACGCCCATCAAAAATCTCAGCCTTGCATCCTGTGCTGTCATCTCTCTGACACAGAGGCTGAAAATCTATATTGTTGCCACGCCCGACAAAAGCACAGAACCTCCTCTCTTGAAGGGTAACATAAGACCTGTGAAACATAAGACCTGTGAAACAGTCCAAGACCAAGTGCTGCTTCCCTCCATGTACCTAGGCCATCAAACTGTAGTATGTTGTACCTGTTGATTGAGAGCATTTGCATCAGCATGCAGCTGTGCTGTAGCTAGTTCAACAACTAAGCTAGATACATGGATGGCACAGTGTAAAGGTGATGACGGGGCTTGAAGACTAGAACCTGAGAATGATGACCTGCTAACCTATGAGACGGTAAAATGCAATTAGGACAAATAACTTGTTGGGTAGATGGCATCCGGGGTAGACCATTCCATGACGACTGGCGATAACAAATATGCAAAGGAGATTCTCTGACTTACAGTCTCACCAAGAACTAAAACAAATTTGTTCCGATTTCTGTACCAATCGTCTTTGGTATACCACCGGGATGCGTGTACCGAATTGAGGAATGTGATTATGCAATCCAGGAAATCAATTGGGTACTGGAGTATGAGCAGGGAGTGTCCCGTGTACTGTTTCAATGTTTCAGTGTTCCTAACACACCATCACACCCCTGGATGAAACTTTGTGTTTGTAACGTTACTTTTTGGAAGAATCGTGCAAGGTGTTGGGGTGGATCTACTTAGTACTAGTAATATCGTGTTGCATCATTGTGAGCAAATAGTATAGGATCTGTATGTCATGTGGTAACTGGCCAGCATTTGCAGGATGACACAAGTCCCTCAGACACAGAGAGCCGTGGCTCTTCACACATTATGCTCTCATCCCATTACTGTTTGTATAGTACTAGTAGTGATGACGAGAAAGAACCCTGCATCCAATACTAGGTACTATTGGCAATAGCACCTATCTCTGGGCTAACACAATGGGCGTGAGCAAACTCCCACTCCAAGACAAGTAGCTGACCATCATTTGTACAAGTGCTCCCTGAATAGCAAGATGTGCAGGAATAATGATTTATCCCTGGGGCAGAAATTCTTGCCGTGGTGTGCCCGACTCCTCTCTCTTATAATGTTTACGCAGGGTTAGGATATCAGGCTCAGGATTATAATACTAGGAGTGGACTTCACTTGCAGTGTGTATGCCAACATGAAACGACTACACCGGAGGCTTATACCCGACCTGCATGACACTGGTAATATCAAGGAGGGGCTGACAATAAAGTCATGGATGCAGCCTCTTGGTGCGGCCCAACAATAGCGGTGTGAAGTTAACTACAGGCTAGGTCAGGCTGCTGGTGGAGTGTCTGTATTGGTAAACGTGTCAATCAGTTATGAATCCCGATACATGTACGCACACATGATGGCTAATGTTGGATGAGCTGTGAACACCAACAACTGTGCCAATCCTCCGCACAGGACATAGCCAGTGGTGTTTGGTCACTTGGCACTACACGTACTCCTATGTGATAGTCGACAAGGGACATTATGTCATTTTGACTGCTAGTTTCAATCAGCTCAAGACAAGGTCCTTTGACTTTGAACCATGGACCACGCTGGCAAAGGAAGCGTTACCATGCAAGGTTGCACCCGAGTCCTCTGGCTCATGCACAACAACAGACTGTCAAGCTAGCAAGTTGTGCGGCACTGTGCGCGTGGGACCAAGTGCAATGGATCAATGCGGTGCTGTCTCCGGGCTTCCGTCCTGGAGCTACCAGGGACTGTCTTCATCATCATGGGAAGCGCACTACACCGGTTCCAGATCTCTGCTGGAGAAGAACCCTAGTCACCGCTGCCTCGCCAAACATTGGTGGCTTTGCGGTGTGCAGTTCAAACCTCTGGAGAACGTTGCGGTTGGGCACTGCTCTCTGAATCACACTGACACTGGTTGAAAACATGTGCCCGTGATATCCATTTTTGAAGAGCGTTCAGCAGTCTTGGCTCCTTATCATAATTAGTTTTCACTGACAAAGTTGTGACACAGGGGAGATTATGCTTAGCAGGTACACTTGAGAACAGCTAACAGTAACAGAGGCCAGGAACAGGACTAGTTGAGGCATGAATCCTTGGATAAGAACACTGTGTCAGGCTGCAATCAGTAAAGCTTGACATCCCAGTTCTGTGAAGCTGGAAGCAGATAAGATAGCACGTGTATGTCGCACACTGCTCTCCTGCTTCGGATGTGCTGGGCAACCATGGCATGGCCAATAGAGTGCAAGCCATCTGCAGAGCCTTGAACTGCTGGTACTGTGAATGGGGATGAGTCTTGTGACCACACATTCCTCCTGGCTGTTGGAATGCAGCGCACACGGGGGGGACTAGCAGGTTAGGTGAAACAATACAGTCCAGTGACCCACTTCTGCCAGAACTATAATGTCTGCCTGTAACGTTATCTGTGGCCATGAGTTCCCAGCGTTCTCTGCACGATGACCCAGACCACTATTGCCAGGGGTACAAAGAGCAATTCACTGGCAAAGATAGGCAGTTGGCAAAGGAGGTACATGTAGATGAGTAGAAGCAAACAAAGATGCTATGAAGCCTACATGAAAACACCCCCAGTTGGTGTGCACTGGGATAACCATGCAGGCCTGCATGAACAGCAGCACCAACCAAAGCTGATGAACTCCCTGCAATCGTGAAGGATGGCCGTCTTAGCCATATCCTTCCTGATGGAATTCAAAAGGGTTTTATCGACTCACCGGGCCTTGCCCAAATCTGCATACCCAACAACATGCCTAACGAGGTTTCATGTCGAGTCAAGCTCTTGCACTGCCCCTTTTTGAGAGGTGTGAGCTGATGTGGCCTGACATGTGCCTAGACTCCTAAGTGTAGAGAGTCAAGTGGATTGACGAAAGTTTCCGTTCCCTACAGCTATCTACCCAGCACAGTGGAGAATGACCACCAGCACTTTTTACATAGACCTGCTGGCAGTCAAGTTGCATTGTCATAGTCCTGGAGCTGTTTTCTTACACTTCTAGCTCTGCTGCTTGCTTTCCACTGAGCAATAACAATCAGTAGTCCATGAATTGAGGTGCAACCTACTCAACTAAATTGTTGCTGTGAACACTTCTCTGCATTAGCACTAGCACTCCACTCCACTCCAGGGGGGGGGGGGGGGAATGCATTGTTTTAGTCTTGTTGACTAGAACACACTACAACATACTAGTAATCAAAAGGAATCCTCTAGGCTTGCTCCTGCAGTGATCTCTTCCCAGGTGTAGCCCCACCAGTATAATCTCAGTACTGTACATTGCAATTCTCTCCTAGTATAGTTTGTTTGTTTGTTTGGCTTTATTTTAGGGGTGAAACAATTATACCGATTACTCGAGTACTCGCTCGTTTTTTTTCAAAAACAATTGTACTCGGAATAAATCAGAGTACTCGTTCATACATGGTACATGCATTTACCACAGAAATCTGCAGTTTCAGAGCAGCAGTCGGCAGATATTGATGTACGGAGTGTGTGGTGAACATTAATTTTGTTCACGAGTAGAGAGAGCCCAAATGACCCACCAACCAATATACCCGAGAAAAATGACTGCTACTCGGTTCAATCAGGGTTGTATCATGTGATTTTAAGGCCCTTGGTGTGCAATTTTTAGGGGATGAAGAATACTCGAAAACTCGAATATTCGATCGGAGAAAATCAGAGTACTCGAACTCGGGATCTCAGTGCCAACTTTCACCCCTACTTTATTTAGAGTGGAGTTCCAAAACAGGCCTAAACCTAATGACAATGGTCCCACTGGTAATAAGAGAAAAAAAAAAGAAAAAAATAAGCGGACAAACAGAACAGAGAAGAAGATAGTTAGATAACTAATATGAGCACGGCGGCAGGGGAAAAAAGTCACAAGCACGGCAACCGGGAAGAAAGGAGTGAGTGAGTGAGTGAGAGAGAGAGAGAGAGAGAGAGAGAGAGAGAGAGAGAGAGAGAGAGAGAGAGAGAGAGAGAGAGAGGTAGTGAAGGAGATGAGTTCATCCTAGTTGACGGTACTGCCTAACAGAAAGGCCAGGCTTAGCGATTTGAAAGTGGAGCGCTTTCTTTCGAGGCGTGCTGTGTCTGGGAGCTGGTTCCACAGGATAGCTCCAGCATGGCTAATGCGCTTAGCTGAGGATGCAGTGGGGGACACAGGAATGATGAGTAACTTGCTGCTCCCTCCTCGTGTTCGGAGAGAGGGACTACGGGTGAAAAAGCTTGCGAACAGAGTACTTGAAAATTTGTTCAGGCAGCGCCAAATGAATACAAGAATGTGCATGTTGGTGTATATGCTAAGGTATGGGCATTCATGCGTTCAAGTAAGGTTTTCACTAGTTAGACTGTGCAGTATTGAGCAATGCTCTGTGTTGCTCTGTGTTTCGTCTCTTTTTTACATTCTGCAGCTGCCAGTCAGGTGAACAATGATCGCCACTGGCGACTAACGTTTGACTCATCCGGCCTGCCTGACGTCAATGACCGTGTGGAATACGCCACATTGGCCGTCTACTCGCGCCATTGCCAGTCCGGCTGGAGGAACACGACGGCTGGCCGTGCGCTGAAAGCCAGCGGCGTTCACAAGACAAACATCTCGGTGTACGCCTCGATTCACAAGACCTACGCCGAGCTGCGCCTCCTGAACAAGGTGTCGCAGCGACTCAAGATGAAGGGCAAGTGCTGGCACGTGTTTGACGAGACGCACTCCGTGCAGTCCTGGCAGGCACGCAAGAAGAGAGGACTGCGCCATTTCATCCTGGAGGAGGAGGGTTACCCCAGCCTGAACGCCGATGACTTTCTGCACCTGCGTGGCGAAGGTGACACAAAGAACAGACCAGTGCTGGTGATCTATACCGGTCGACGAGTTCATCCACCTGTGAAGAGTACATCCAGACAACGCAGGAGTGTCCAGGACGAGTTCGACAATGGCGGTGGACCAGCGAGACAGGAGCACGGAGATCCAACCAGAGGACCGGAGCACACCGCGTGCGCGCGTCGAAAACTCGTCATCGACTTCACAAAGTCCGGTTGGCACAAGTGGATTATCTCGCCACAGAGCTACAAGGCGTATCGTTGTGCAGGAACCTGCAAGTTTCCCATTCACCGGAGCATCCGTAGCACACTGCATGCCCGCCTAGAGGCCAGCGTTACCTACCAGAATGAACTCAATGGCATCAAGGACCCGCTCCCGGGCAGCGGCGTTTGCTGCGTTCCCACCGCTCACAATTCCCTAACCCTGCTCTTCCACACGCGCAGCGGCGGCACTCTCATGCACATAGCCAACAAGATGGTGGCGGATCGGTGTGGATGCCGCTAGGGGAGCGCGTAGTACACCACTCAGCATGCATACGCGTGTGAACACTTGGAGTGTACACGTATGTGGACACTCAGACGTTTCATGTCTGCACAAACATGTTCACTCAATTCCCAATTAGTAGATTTATGGCTCCTTTGTTTGTGCTGGGAGATCTGCATCTGCACGCCAGAAGCAACCCATTATTTAATCCCCTGCAGGTGCCTGTGTCTGACGGTATGATGCCGTGAACAGAATTTAGGAGCGCCACCGGCCACTGCTGACTCGGCCTCAACGCTCAAACTCATACATGCTCACATACGCATGCACACACACACACACACACACACACACACACACACACACACACACACACACACACACACACACACACACACACACACACACACACACACACACACACACACATACACACATGCACACACACACGCACATACAGACACGCACGCACCCCAGGCAGACGGCGTGCTAATCTTTACACTGCATTTGCATATATCAAGTCTTGACGGGATGTGCTGACGATGCCCCACTAGTATCACGCTGGCCATGAATGCTGCCTTAGCCCCTTGTTTTATCTAAAACTTGAGTATCACAATTTCTCCTGAGTCTGCTGCACGACCAAAATGGATCACGAACCAGAGACGTCAATGTTTAGCACCCACACAATACCAGAGATTGAGAACTCATTAATTTTTGGTTTATACCGGATTTTTTACAAGTGCAATTAGTCAATACTAGGCGGAAATGATACACAGCAGGTAGTGCACTAATTCTGCTGATGGTGGCAGCGTATTATCTTGTCTCTTCGATTCCCTTGCTCCGTGTCTTTCCTTCGCAACTGTATTTTTCTTAGGCCGACTTCTGTATTCGATAACTGCATCCAGGCTGTCCACTCTTTGTGTCCCACCGTCTTGTTTGCTTTCTGGTTATGACCAACCAGTTCATCATTCTCGTCTTGGTCCGTTTGAATGTGGCGATGCATCACTAAGAATATGCTGCGCTTCTGCCCGACAGTGCAGCATGCACCACGCGAAGTTCAATGTGTGAAGCCTGCCATGAATGACAGTTATGGGCATGACCATTATTGTCCAAGTCTGAATCAACTGGCCACATAATTATACTACCCAATGTCCAACCCACTGGTCTCGCTGTCTACATTGGTACACAGAAACTTCAAAGTAAACAGTAAAAACGACTCCCATAGACTTATTTCCAAGCATAGAATAGCCTCCACACTATAGGTGTAGTCACAAATCAGTTGAAATCACTGAACACGGCTGTTCATATGATCACGTCAGCGGACATCTAAGATGGCGTCGGCTTTGGGCATGAGTCATTTGAAAGTTCTGCTCGAAATACGCATTTTTCCTAAACTTATCGTAGCAAACCATGGTATCTTGGGCTTCCTTCGAGGCTGCTAACCAGCAACTCGCGTTTTTCCAGGAGAGGAAGGAAAGAGCAATCGTTTGATATCTCACTCGATGACGAGCGTCGTTCTGGTCTCGATCGTCGAAGAGAAGTGCTCTAATTTATTTTCGTCGTAACTATTGTTGTATGTTATAGTGTAGCCGTTTTCCTGCTCCCAGAGAAGCGTCCCTGGAGTTTTCCCGTGCTTACTCGGAGTTTTCCTGGTTGGCCCAAGGCTTCGACCATCCGATAAACATAAATTCGTGAGCGGAAGTTCGTACATTTTTTTGGAAGTTCGTGGAGATGTTTGTGCACTTTTTGTGATTTTAGGGCTCAATGTATGGTCCTCTGCATATCCTGGCATCTGTATGTTGGGTCGTTGGCCAAAAATTTGCTGATTAGCCTTGTAATACTAGATACTTTGCATCTGAGCATGAAAATGGCCTCAAGGGCATGGGAATGATATTTCGGAGGACTTCAACGCCATCATGCCGCTGCGACTGTCACGCACAATTGTGATACATGGCTGAGCCGCACTACCAAGCAGTGATAGCTGTGCCTTGTGTTGAGTTTGAATACATGTACAACATGCCTTGGAAACTACCACACAATCAAACGCATGCACAGCACGAGTCCGGAGCTGCCGAGTCCTGGAAGACGCTCGCACCACGATCTGGTGGTAGCGGCATAGCACAATAGAACGCACACAGCACACTATCATGACTACTACGTCAAGCCACAACTGACGACCGTTACGTGCCTACAACCGGTAATCACTACAATAATTATTATTACGTACATGCCATCAATTATATATTCACAGCCTACGGCACAACTTCCGATGAGAAATATGTTATATCACAATATGAAGAGAACATATTTAGCAGGGAGGTAAACTGGGTGTAACTCCAGCCACACAACACAGGCATAAGTCACAGCAAAAGCAAGAGAGGATTTTTCTGCAATCATAGTCATGGCTGCACACCCACACGCACACATACGCAACGCGCACGCTCGGGCGTGCGCAGACACACACGGCAATAAGGAAAATGGCCACATACGTAGTGTAGGACTACCACTCAACAATGGAGAAAGCGCATAGTTCAACTTCAAAAGTTCAGTTGAGGACTGTGTTTTTCTTGGGTCAGACTCGTCGTGGAAATGACAATGCACTGAGCTACCAATAACTATGGAGTGTCGGGATTAAGTGGTGTACGGCTATGCTTACACACTGCCACTGTCCAAAGAAGGTGGTGGACATGCTGCCTGTTGACGTGTCAGATGAGGGGAAACAGTCACGCACCTTGCTGACCCTCAGGGCTGACCATAGCGCTTTCGTCGCTGCTAGTTCCCAATTGTCGGTTGCGACGCCGCGTAACAGCGTTATTCCGGCCCTGATTCTGCTGGTCGAGATCAGCCACACCGTTGCGCCAGTGTTGCATCTAGACCTGGGGATCCATTTCTGGATCTACGCTGCATCAATGCTGGTAGAGATCCGCCAGCTCGGTAAGTGCTTGATCTGCACAACACCAGCCGCATCCAACGGCAACAGCAACGGGCAGTACACAGCATTGGTCACACTACATGCCAAGCTGCAGCAATGCATAGCCGGCGCAAAAGCAGCCAAGCAGAAGGCCACACGCATTGAAGGCTGGTTCGGCTACTCGCGTAGCTCTGCAAGGCCATGAGCAGTGCATCGCCGGTGGCGTTTCGGAGGTTGTGCCCACAACTTGATTCAGCAGGAGTTGCAGGCAGCATTGCATGATCAGACTGGCAATATCAGGTGACTGTTCGTTGCTGACTCTTCTGCTCACTCCCACGGTACCGTTATAACTACAAGGTAGCTCATCCATACAGCTAGTAGTACTGTGCGGTGCTCTTACGTCGTTGAATAATACTAAGGCCTAACCGTTCGAACCCTCGTCGGATTTTTTCCCAGTGGCTGCCGTATTCTGAGCGTCATTATGTCTTTCTCCAACGAAACCACTGTCTAGAAATTCAGCCTTGCACTTTTTTCTTCATTTCCATTGTGTTGAGGACATCGCAGAGCTCAGCAGCAACATCGAGCATTTCCCTAAGCTCATGCAAGCCTTGTGACGAGATCGTGAAAAGAAACAAACGGCACCTCATCCCTAAGCTGCACCTCTTAGAGATACACGCCGTGCCAGCTATGGTTCGACTCCTTGTTGGCCTTGGCTTGCTAGGTGAGGAAGGCTCGGAGAGCATCCATGCGGACTCTCAACTCGGACTCTGGAGAAGCGTTTCTCGCAGATTCCTGCGCCCATGAAACGGCTCGAAGCAACACAGCGCCTAGCAAGAACGCTGCCCATGTCCAGGCCCCTCAGCGTAGCCGTAGCTAAGGCATGGAGGAAAACGGCAGCCGTTACTATCCTTCTCCTTGGGCTAGCTCACTCCATAGTGACTAAGTCATTGAGTACTCTGTTTCTTCTTCGTTTATTTGTTTCATTTTGCTTGCTTGCATGATCTTCGCGATCGATTGCGTCTGAGGACTCCCAAACTCCATCTACCTAAGGTTACCTACTTGATTCTGCTTGATTCGAGAAGGAATCACCTGAAACCACACGAAGTTCATAAACCAAACGTGTAAAGTGTAAGTTTGCGATTTACCAGTTAATTCGCCGCCATTTTGATAGATGGCCGCAGATGAACAGCCGTGTGAAGGCAAAGAGCAGTGTATAGTGGCTGGCTGGGGCTGGCTGCGAGTAACTATTGGATGATGCATGTACTAGTACATCACACTGTCCCTCCAGGAATTCGCGATTCCACGGATGCAACAAATTTCGCGATTTTGGCCAAAACTCATGATTTTCTGAAAAATCCGCGATTCCCCGCGTTTTTTGTTGTTTTCTGCACTTCTTTTTACATTTTTCTGCACTTTTCACGCAGTATATAATATATACAGTGCTTTCCATGATCCTGTACGTAGGTTATTTGCACAGTACGCAAATAGCAATTCTAAGGATGCAACAAATTTCGTGATTTGGCCCAAATCCGCATTTTTCTACCAATAATTCCGCGAGTTCCTGGCAAGTTCCGCATCTTTCCGCACTTTTCACCGCATTTTTTGTTGTTGTTTGCCGCAATTTCTTGCGCAAGTTTTCGAGGATTTTTTTCCGCAAATTCCCGCAGGGACAGATCACAGATTCCTCAAAGTCAGACCATGTTTACTTGATGTCCAGAGGACTGCAGGGTATGAAGTGTGTCACCCGTACACTGAACAGAAAAGTTCATGTACCAATTTGAGTCGGATTGTGGTCGGTACAGCTCCCGTGGAATAGGTACACTGTGTTGCGCATGAAGCACCGCAAACACACAGTTTTAAAAGGCACTCCCTGCTACCAGCGCTGCAGCGTGGATCTCAAATTCAGGACCAAGATCACACACCGCTCGCTTGGTCATGAGCTTTGCTCCAGGTAACAAGTAAGCTATGGTGAAAAACTTTGAAACGGGCTCAGGCTGAAAGAACCGAATATATCACATGTTTGCCAAAGGTTGACACATAGATCCAACAACAATTCAAGCCTGCAGCATCTCTCCGGGAGAGCAGTTTCTTGAAACCACCGCACAGGAAGCATTTCACTTTTAAAGATTATGCAGCAGACCCACTAAACCGTCATCACACGAACAAGTCCTTGGCTTGCCCCTGTCCACCTTGAACTTCCGGCAAAGTTATCCTTTCAACTAGTACATATATTGTCACCGGGCCCAGACTAAGTAAGGGGACCTGGGCCAGGGTCGTAGCCGGGTGATGACTTTAACGATGGTGGATTCCTATACCATGGCAAGAGGAGGATCACTGAGAATGCTTTGCTGGCCCAATTCCACGCACACCACACGTTACAGTTACATGTAATCATAATTATAGTGTGAGCAGAGCACCAGACAGCCAAACACCGGGTATGTATGGCTGGGGAGAGAGAGAGAGAGAGAGAGTGAGTGAGAGAGAGAGAGAGAGAGAGAGAGAGAGAGAGAGAGAGAGAGAGAGAGAGAGAGAGAGAGAGAGAGAGAGACATAGTCTGTTAATTCATGCATACATCTTATAAACTGTACAACGTCAATTTAGAATACTTGGAAGCCAGCACCAAGTTCAAGCAAGGGAGTAAAGAGAGAAAGACGGAAATCATGACAATGGCAAGAAGAAAGGAAAGAGGAAAGCGGAGGGAAGAGAAAGAGGTGAAAGAGGAAAGGAACTGAGTAAAAAGCCAGTTCTCAAGCCTGTGTCCAAAACGAGAGGTTTTGGGCGTAAAGGTTATCGCAAAGCCTCAGCAGTTTGCATGCATGATGCGGCAGTACTGGGGCCGGTCGCACACACTCAGCAGTCGGTGTTTAAAGTAAGCTTGTAACCAATATGTCTGCCCTAGGTGAAGACGATGGCAGCACCTACAAGCATTGAAAAGGCCACAGCACTGACTGCTCTCGCTCAAGATGCTTGAATATCTCACAGCAGACTAATGGCATCAATGTAGTCCACTTCCACACCAACAGAAGAACAGCTCTGCAACCAGCAGCACACTCAAGACTTACACACAGAGAGCCAGCAGTAGGTTACGTCGACAAGATCGGCTTCCGAAGTCGACGGCTCGGCGTAGTGGTCAGGAACGTGGCGACATTCATCAGCTTAGCCTTGAGTGGAATATGCACAACAGTCTTACTCTGCCTGGGAACCCTGGTCAAGTCCTCCAACCTGCACATTAAAACAGGGGTAGATATGCAGCAAGCCGTGTTACGTGGAGAAATTCAACACACATACACACACATACACCCACTATAGCCTCTCCTTAGCCACAGCCCAATGGCAACAGTATCACAGCAGCCCAGGTCCACCTTCAAGGATCTGCAACCCCCTCACCTCCCATCGACCACCAATGGTGGCAGGCAGTGTGACAGAGGACACTTGCCTGTTATGTGCTGTCATCCTTGCCAGATGTCAGTGCATTATGATGGGGTGCTTCCACAAAAAGACTGTTTATTCAGCTCCAACAAGAATAAGAGGATAAATCAGTGCTTATCCAGCTCATCAAGTAAATCTATGCAGTACTATTTTATTAGCATACCAGCAAGCAGGACAGTGTTGCAACATGATCAAGGACAAGTAGGCAAATTGACCACCGCAAAGGCAGCACAGAACACAAGTAAGAGAGTAGCATACAGTTGGCGTACAGAACACAAGGAAGAGGAGCCCATCAGAGGAGCACAATCCACAACAGCTCTTCACGTAATCAAATCAATGGCCTTAGAGCATAATAATTACCGACAAGTCCTTCAGGCTGGGGCCCAGGAAGGAAGTGTATGTGACAAGGTGGGATGGCACAGAGCCGCAAGGCAGGAGCAGGGTAGGAGCAGGGTAGGATGTGCATCCCTTCCACTTTGACGAAGCACACACCACTGCAGGGCTGTACCTCTACTGCACTACACTAACCCAATACTGTATATTAGTACTGGTACACAGTACACAGTGCAGTACAGTGCAGTGCAGTACAGTACAGTACAGTACAGTACACAGTACACAGTACACAGTGCAGTACAGTACAGTACAGTACTAGCATACCCTAGACCCGGCAGTTACATGGAAGAACAGGATGCATAGCTAACAAAACGATATTCTGCTCAGAGCCAGACAACAACAAGTACTCCAGTGGTATCCACTATCCTCACATCCACACACTCACGCCTATCTCTTGCAACAGAAAGGGCAAACGGCTGCCAAGGACCTGTTCAACTGCATCTGGACCGCTACATCTTGTGTAAGACCAGAGGCAAGGCATGGTCACCATACACCATGCATCTCTACTGTGGTATGCTGTTGTGTTGTGTGGGTGGGTAGGGTAGGAACTAGGAAATACCAGTGATGATGGCTTCAGGGTACACAGCATGTGCTGCAACAGACAGACAACGGTCTCGACTCTAGTCCACATGTAAATCAGGCCAGGTGTGTGTGGAATGCATTCAGCACATCTATAACTATACACAAGAGAATTGCAAGACGCCTACAAGGCTACAGCCTACACTGGCTTTGTCGGCACAGCTCTTCAACGGAGTGGACATTAAAAGCTAGGAGGTTAAGAGTGCTGGCACAGATGGCACTATCCTGTAGCAAAGGTGGTTTAGTGTGCCGCTGAACACTACAACATGTACGAGTGTACTGTATTAGACAATGTTACAGTTGCAATATCCACACAGTACAATATGCTTCACCAATCTGAATTCACTTCCATTCCTACATACTGGTAATGTACAGGATGAAGGGGATAGCACTTGGGCGCGTGCAAAAGAGAATGCACTGGGAGCTGGACATAATGCTATTGAGATCGTTCCGGCGAATACAACTGAGAGCCCAGGGTCATCACCTTTCTAAAAACAACATTCAAACACAATCATGTACATTCTAGCGTGTGACAGACTGTAGTGATGCGGCTAATTGAATTCCATGTACACACCGCACTTGACTGCATGCAAGTAGAAACATGCAGCATGGCCATGCAGACATACAGAGAAGGGCTTGTACACACCAGTGCAGCACATGCCTGGCAAGATGGTGGCAAACATACATGTATAGTATAGGGTATCCAGCACAATACACAATAGTTGTATCAGCATGACAGTGCTGTCAAGTGTGTGAACTGCGTACAAGTGCAGGTCAGATATAGATATCCAGAAAACACAGATACACAGAAGCGCAGATATCCAGAAACATAGATATCCAGAAACGCAGTTGCGCAGAGACGCAGACACACGGAAACACAGATACAGACATACAGAGTCACAGTTATACAAACGAAGTACATGCACACAGATACATGGGAATATCAAACACAGACACACAGCTACATGTACTTGTACATGCACATACATTTTTTTAGTTTGACAGCATATTACAAGGCGGTGATCAAACTAAAAACATGTTTCTACAATACAAGGTTTATCTAATACTGTACAGACATGTAGACCAAAGACACACAGAACTAGCATGACTTGGTACACATCAATATAGAACACAGAGCTGACATAGATAAAAAAAGGTACACAGAGTATGAACGTACATGACCCAGTGGATCACATACAGATACACACAAACATTGCAGACACACAGAAATGTATACACGCCAGGTACTTTGCCTTCTTGCAGCAGCATAAGACAAGAAACATGTAACTTTACTTTGGGCAGAGGAACATCAGACGGGGCAGGGCAATATCAGACAAGACCATCACACTCGAGAAGTACACATACATGAAGTACATCCTCCTACAAACCCTCCTGTAAAGTGGAATCTTTTGTCCTACATGTGCATAGTCATTCAGAACCTTGTCTACCCACAACACACACATGCAAGATCCTAAAGTGGACACAATATCAAACTTGGCACACTTCACACAGGAAACCCCCAGGACTTTTACTTTATCGTCACACACAAGTTACAACACAACACTTCACTACTGCATCACGATGCATGCGTGGCTGGGGTCATTTTCTACACAATTCTTATTTTAGGAAAGCTGCTTGCTCCTCACATATCGCTGAAGTCACCATCACTATCTTGCAATTCTTATTTTTGACGTAAATATACTTGTACATGATAGTTGCTGTACATCGTTAATGCACCTATGGTTACATGACTGAACAGTGAAAGTACAACTGTGATAACAAGGTTGAACAGTGAAAGTATGACAATCGCTTTCTATTTTTCTTCACCACATGTTTGCATATTCTTAGATGCACATGCCCAACACAACACGTTCTGACAAGATTACTCCCCCCCCCCCCCCACCCCCTTCTCCTGACTGGTATGACGTTTTGATAGGAGGAGAACAGCATGCGTCCACGCAGATGGCCAGCAGCGATGAAAGGGAAAGCAGCAGGAGGTGAAGGGCAGTAGTCATACACCACCAGCATGGTCCACTAGCATGTCTGGCATCAGGATAAGAAGCTGAACTGAGCACAGCAGGACCACATCTCTCTGACAGCAACCAATCCCATGCACGCACGATTAGAGAAGAGAGCTGAGGACAAGATCTACCCGCCAAAAAGTGCCTTTTAGGTGACTTTGACCTTGAAAACATTTGCTTCCACAAGAGAGTATAGCACACTGACTTGCAGCAAATAACTTAGAGCCATCTAACTGCTCAAACTCTCCCTTTTCAGGGTGCCCCAGAAAGAACCGTTTCCAAGCCATCGGCTGGTGCAATGTTGCACTGAAAAACAACTAAGCATAATGTAACAGTAAAGTTCGCACGTTTGCGTTACCACTGGCTATACAATTGCACTGTGAAAAAATGGTACAAGGTACACATAAACGTGGCCAGTCAGCATCTCTCTGGGGGTTCTAGAGACACAAATCCTCACTAGGAGGGAGCACAGTAGAATTCTCCGTACCATGGGCTCTGTGTGTCTGGGCACACACATCAGATTCTTATCACACCGTGACAGGACAATGACTGCAATTCCATGCTGCTGCTATGCACGTAATGAAGCAACACCAGACCACATCAAGGTGTCGAGTGACACTGGTATTCTTCTTCAAATGGATAACACAGCCTCACAACACGGATACACTGTATCATGCACTCCAGTTGCATTCTTTCCCACGACAACGTGATACGGAAACGGACTGTCTGCTGTACGCCTAAGACGCCCATGCCAAACTTAGAGAGATGTGAGAGGTGAGATAACACAAACAAAAACCTACATACACCAGTAGTACGCAGACCACATGGTGCGGAGAAATGAAAATAAGATAGGAGCGACCAAGGGAATACACAACCTACTTGAAGTACCAGTATCCAGTATCCAGTACCCAGTATCCAGTAACCGGGGCTAGCAAGTGAAATACAGTGAGCTGACATCATCTGGATTTCCTTTTGCGCCGTGCTGCTTTGTGTGCTACATGTACAATTCATTACAACACACGTACATTGAGCTGCCGCCGTTATTCGGGACGCTGCTGATGATCAACTTGGTCTTACTTTAATGCGCTCATTTTCGGTTTGCTACAGTACAGGGCTTGGAGACACCGTGGATAGACGCTTGCTATGTGCTAGACTACAGTTACTTGAAGCACTAGTAGACAAACACGATAGCGCATGCGCGCACACGCATACACATGCACAAAGGCATGCCCCCCCCCCCCACACACACACACGCACACACAAGTAGGAGCAGAGAGCATCACACAGGAATGGCCACGGCCCCATATCAGAGAGTGTCAGACTTACAGTGTTCCGTATCCGGTGTAGCGCTGGCCATTCTGATCAAAGTAAGCCGTACAGCCTTGAGAGATCACGACCAACTTGTCCAAAAGTAACTGTGCAACAGGCGTCATAATCACAGCAAAACCCACATAGTTTAGTGTTACATGGCTGACATTACATCCCACGAACACCCTGAATGATTACATCCCACGAACACCCTGAATGATTACATCCCACAAACACTCTGAATGCCTGTAAACATAATACAGTACAATCCTGTAGATCATACAAGCACTATGTCCAGCCCATTCAGCTACTGCACTGTCAGTAGTTTTGCTCACCACTGCCACAGGAAATATGTCACTAGGTGTGTCAGTTAGTACTGCCCTGGGGTGTCAGGATAGCTAGGACTGGGATGCTTCACAATATAATATGACATTGTGTTGTGGAGCATCCTAGTTATGTAATACAATTTGGTGCACATTTCACTGATGCCACAGACCTGGTGGCATTGATGTACTGATAATATCATCAACATAATCCCCGAAATCTGAGCTGATACACACTATTATGCAGCGAAGGCTAAGAAGAACAAGCAATGGCGTCGAGAAGCTGATCGAATTACAATTAGAATGACTGTAATCAAGAGCAAGAAGAAGGCATGAATGCCCAACATAGTAGTAAAGAGAGTGACAGAAGAAATTAGATGTGTCTCAACTCTCAAGTGTTGGCCAATACAAGGTAAACACAATATCTGCAAAGGAGTAAGCAATAGCCATAGCAATTGATGAGAATCTGTAACTTGAGCCTGGCTCCAAGCTGGACCAGCATGCCTGAGTGTGAGCAAGGGCATGTGGCTGTGCTGCACTGCACTGCATGCTGTCATCATGGAAAGCATTGGAACAATGGTGTACACCAGAAGAATGCTGCATCGTTTCGTTGGAGGGTGTGACTGTGACTGCCTCCCAGTGTACACATATAAGGCTGGATTTGTGGTGACATTAATGCAAATGAGAAGTAATTTCCAGGTATCTTGCAGCTTCATCTGTAGAAAGTAGTTGGGTGGATACACCCATTCCCAAAGCACTGCACAGGAGCAAACCAATTCCTACCATACAACGTTTCGGCAATATTGCCATTATTAGGTGTGAATGAAACAGTGATGCCAAAAAAACCGCTCCTTTTTGGCCTGCATGGCATCATTTTATTATTCGTACATGATGATAGCAATATTGCTGAAACGCATGGTAAGAATTGGTTCGGTCCTGTGCAGTGCTTTGGGAATGGCGCAGAGTATCCACCCAACTACAAGTACATTTTCACCAGTTGTAGTCTTTGGGGTGCCGAGTCGAATTGTCTTGGTCCAAGGAAGCTGAGACGCTCCCTTCCTCCTTTATTCCCAATCGAACTCGCCACTTCCACCAACACTTTTGGACGCTGACTCGACTGGTTTTGGTCCGAAAAGGATGCAGCGTTCGGCCCTTATTCCCAATCGAACACGGTTGAGTAAGTGGTCACGTGCTCGTGGGTGCACCAGTCGCCCGTGCCTGTAGGCTACAACTTTCACACCAATGTTCAACTCAAAGGTTCAAAGGTTCAACTCGAGGGACAGGAACGTGCCCAAACAGGCGGTAAGTTGTAGCCTGCAGGCACGGTGACCAGGTGACTGGTGTACGCATCAGCACGTGACTGCTTATTCAACCATATTCGATTGGTAATACGGGCCGAACGCTGCATCGCAGCCTTCTCAGACCAATACCAGTCGACTCAGTGCCCAAAAGACTACAACATATGGGCCAATCGCAGTCATCTGTGCTTTTTGCAAGTAAGAACGAAATGGCGCTTTTAGTGACATTTTGCATACAAATCCCCGTCTAGTAGGGCGCAGTCACCCAGTTTCAGTGGAAGTGGCGAGTTGGATTGGGAATAAAGGAGGATTACAACTGGTGAAATTTGGATTTTAGGCTTAACTTTCCCTTTAAGACAGACTCCACATTAAATACAATCGGGACTATAAACAACAAGGAACACATAGCAGATGAAGGAAATAGGAGAAGGAAGAGAAAGACTTTCAACAAAGCTGGAAGACAGCACATTGAAACAAATACTTGTACACAACCCAGCCATGTGTTACTAAGAACATTCCAGTCCACGAGGAACTCAGCAGAGCGTGACAACCTATCTTATCCAGAACAGGAAAAATGTACCACAACTACAACATGTACTACACCCAGCCTACAGGTGCTTACGAAGTAAAACAAGAGAGTCCTGGGGCGATATGATTATGTACGCACATGTACATGTACATGACAGGATCTAGGGTCTGATTATCATACCAATGACTACTTAGCTAGCACAGTAAGGACACTAACTGGAACAATTATCAGCCAGAGGGTGTCCCAACATGGATTTAATTTGGTCATAGTCAATGATAGCCCAGGATTACATGCTAATACGCAAGCTTCAATAGTTGCCTCATCATCAGCGACACACACGCACACATGCATGCACGCACACACACAAACACTGGACTGTACTGTACTTGCTCACTGCAAAAATAGGTCACGTGGGTCTCACGGGAGAGGGGAGAGAGGAACTGAAAAGGAATCTTAACACACACACACACACACACACACACACACACACACACACAAACACACACACACACACACACACACACACACACACACACACACACACAAGCATTTCTTCCCATTGGCCTCGGCACAAGGCCTGATCCAGTGCCACAGGGAGATACAGTAATGCAGTATTTTTTCTGGTGGAGAGGATCTTCAAAATGTGACCTAGCACCACGCTAGCTAGGCTGTGGCTTGGAGGGTAGGGAAAAAAAGAGCAAGGACGGTCCAACTGGCACACGCCTTTAGCCTTCACTAAACAATAATGGAGTCAGTATGGGCCTTATTACTAGTATGATTTAGTGAAAGTCAGGAGGTTACTCAGCAGCAGCAGCAGCACTTGGTAGGGAGTTGGGAGTAGTAGGTAAGGTTACATATACTATACCCACACTTGAAAAGCTATCAACTAACAAGTGTCACTTTGGCAAACAGTTGTACTTAGAAGTACATTACTCCGGTAAGTAACTTGGCTAGTAGTAAGCATAAAGCAAGTTTCATAGGGCGGTACATGACATTGTACTGGCACACTATCACCCTGGGTGTTGTATGTGATTAGTATTCACCGCTACTACTTTTCAATCTCCAGACTGCTAGGTGTTCCACCATGTTTGGTCTAATCAGCGGAGCTCGGAGTGGCTGCAAGGGGGTCAGTCATGTACTCCAAAGTACAAGTGTACAGGTACATGTACTACAGTACATACACCCAATGTTGCATGTACAGTACATACACCCAATGTTGCATGTACAGTACATACACCCAATGTTGCATGTTCCAAGCCATGATGGCGTGTGCATTGCTCCCTTTCTAGAACCTTCTTTGGGATGCATGGATAAAGCTTAGCAGGGGTCCTAATGGGCATGCCACTCAACACCGCTGGGCCTGTGTGTTCAATGACACCCCATGGAGATACAGCTTGATAGGGAATCCATCTGCCATACTATGCTTCTAGCCTCTGATCATCTGAGTAACTGAGTTACAACCTTCAATGTATGTCCATGGTCACACACACAGCCACCATACTCCTCTTCACATTGCTTGCTGTACAGTCTCAGACTCCCCGGGCACCCAATTCCAATACCATTGCAGAGAACAAACACTACTCAGCGGGTGACTCGGTGACTCACACCAGGACAAGGGCACAAGGTCAATGTGATCAGCAATCTTCCTGAACAACTGCACATACAGCTGGCTCAAGTAGTGAGTATGTAGTACAGGCTAGAGGCTACACACACACCTCATGTCCCGACAGTCATCACACACAATGCCCATAGTATGCTGACAAAAAAAAAGAAACAAAAAAAAGCTAAACCGCCAACGACATCTCTCCAATATCTGCCTCCAGCTAACCTGTATGATCTACGGGCATACTGGTACCCACACATACGGGCATACCCTTCAAGTCTTGATCTCTACATGCTAGGATTCCCTGGCCTGCACGCATACATGTACTCTCACACACACACGCGCACATAAAACGAATGGGAAAACGGATTCAAACGGACACTCCGAAAAAAAAGCACACTACGGCAAAGTATGAACTCGGATGGAGAGCCAAGGATTATTTATAAAAAGTAAAAAGGACCAAGGAACTACAAGTTACACTATAATTCCAAGTTGGAAGGCTGTTGGAGTGCGCATCCAAGATGTGCTAGAGCTGTTAGCCCGTTAGTTGTAGAACGTCAGTACCGTCGGTCAGTGTTGTGCAATGTTATCGCACGAGCTGATTGTTTAGTAACTGGTGGTGTTAGTGGACATTATAGTGTAACTTGTAGTTCCTTGGTCCTTTTTACTTTTACGGCAAAGTAGATTTGGAATAAACTCGTACCGTATTATCTCTATTACAAGCACAGTCTCTTGTAGAAGCGCAGTCTCTATTATAAGCACACTCCAGGAGAGCTTTGAAGATATACAAGCCCAGTCTCTAATATAAGCGCAGGGCTTATAATGGAGATCTGTACTCATCATGCGCGTACATGTTTGACGTCATACGGTATCACGTGCGTGCCTGATGTGTCACGAATCCGCGATCCTGGGCTCGAAAAGCGATGTGAGCGGGACAAACTGTCACTGTGCAGGGAGTACCGTACGAGGCTTATGATTTCTCTCTTTTCTTATTTAGCACTTTCGGGTGTTAATGTTTCATGTTTTGCATTTCGCACTATTTTTCAGAGCATTGTGTTACTTCTACCCGTACAACAGCCCTTATAAATAGACATGTAGTACCGGTAGGGGTCCTGTAGCTGTTCGAAGCGAAACAAAAGTTTGAAAGTTTGTTTGCAAACCCCGGACTCTGCACCAGTCGTTTGACGTTTCCCTTTCATCATGAACGGACATGGACAAGCTCTTGCTGCTTCTTCAGCATCGGGAAAGAAAAGAACTGTTATTCCCATGAAGAAAAAGCTCGAGGAAGTGAAATACGCCGAGCAGACCTCCAGCTCCGCTGCTGCGACAAAATTCGGTGTCAATAGAAAGCTGCTGCAGAATTGGAGACGAACGAAGACCAAAATCGAGACAGCTGTGACGAGTGGTGGTTCAAAGAAGATGAGGCTCGGCCATGGAGGTAGTAAACAAACATATCAATTAGTGAACGAACGCACTCGAGAGTGGATTCTGGAAAAGCGACGCCTTCGACAGAGTGTGTCACGCCAACTGATTCGCCTGCAAGCGAAAAAGATCGCGAAAGAGTGTGCCGACTGTCAGGGCTTCACCGCTAGTTTGGGCTGGCTGGAGAAGTTTCTCCGGAGAAACAACTTCACTCTGAGAGCAACAACAACGACGTGTCAACGTCCACCGGCCGACTCTGTCGACAAAGTTTTAAATTTCGTCATGTTCCTTCGTAAGCAGCGTATCGACAATGTTTATACAGATAGCAACATCTTTGCATGCGACGATACTGCTGTGTGGTTGGACCCGATCGGTGGTAGGTGTATCGAGACGAGAGGCGCTAGGGATGTGACGGTGCAGAAACTCGACCATGAGAAGGTCCATATCACTGTCATGCTGTGCGCACGGGCGAATGGAACGAAATGCAAGCCATACATGCTCCTAAACCGCAAGCGGCCTGTCCCAGCTGTAGTCCAGAAGTTCTCCGGCCGACTGGTCATGTCATGGGCTGGCAGAGTATGGATGGATAACAACCTAACAGAAGACTTCCTTCGCCGCATCCTTGGCCCCCTCTGGTTCCATAAGCGCCTTCCAGTATGGGACTCATTTCGTTGTCACATCTCCCAGGACACAAAGACAGTGCTACAAGAACTGAAGGTGCACCAGGCAGTGGTCCCAGGAGGCTGTACAAAGTATGTGCAGGCACCTGACGTATCCTGGAATAAGCCATTCAAGGCGGCCATCTCCAGGCTCCATGAGGATTGGATGGCTGATACTAGTGATAGCACCGAGAGAGAGATAATCAGGGGTGGCAACCCTCGCCCGCCACCAATCGAAACCTACCTTCAGTGGGTTCTGGATGCCTGGGATAGCTGTTTTCATTTCTTGTTGGCTGAGTTTTACGAAATAAACAAGAAATGTTGTTCTTTTCGAACGAACAGATCTGGGACCGAGGTCCGACAGTTTTGGGCGTACTGGTATGCCGCAGTTCCTCATCTTTCGTTTTCTTGCTTTGCAAGCTGGTTGCCTTTTTTTTCTGGACTCCCTTGATTTCATCATTCGTTGAACCGTACCTGCCTTTCCGTTATGCCTCCAAGGAAATCCAAGCCCCCCTCGGCAGCACAGCTGGTACCTCCAAGGAGAAAATCCAAGGCCCCCTTGGCAGCACAGCTGAGCGTGGAGCTCAATGCAATGAGGGAGAAGTTTGAGGCGGAAAAGGAAGAGAGCGCCCTGAGAATCAGGCTCCTCGAGGGCCAGCTGGAACGGGGAAACGAGTCGTCCTCGTCCAAGCGTAAACGTCGTAATGTTTCTGTATAGTCGTCGTCTTCATCGTCTTCGTCATCATCTTCGTCATCGTCATCGTCTTCGTCATCAGATTCGTCTGATTCGTCAGACGACTCCCGCCGGAAGAGAAAAACCAAAAAATTCCAAAAATCAAAGAAGTCACGAAGATCCTCCACCTCAATGTCAGCGCGAAAGTGGAAGATAAGATTGTATGAAGTGCAGCACGGCCTGAATGAGCAGCTGCAACGTCAACTCAAGAGAACCAGGCGGGACCTGCGGAAGCTGAACGGTGGCCGGAGTCTCTCTAAGAGGCTCAGAAGAGGTGAGTCGTTGCTGTCTGCTACACAAGAATGGTTGGTGGTGGCGGATGTGCATGGCTACGAGGCGGCCAGCAGGTTTCAAGAGGGAGGGTGAGCTGGTCGACATCATGTCGTCCTCCGAAAAGTCGAAAAAGCTGATCTCATTCGTGACTTGTTCAAGGCATGTGGCAATACCAACAGCATCGATGGATCTGAGGACGAGCTCATCCACTGTTTCAAACCACACGGACCGATTCCGAAGGGCCTCCAGACTCAAGGCATAGTCACTGGAAGCAGTGCATGCTCCAGATATTGTCCCTGAGGACGAGCATGACGAGCAGCAGGAGCAGCTGATGGTGGTGGAGACCACAGCAGACACACCCGCTGTGTCTGGTGGTGATGTTGACGACGATAACAGTGGCGGTGATGGCAAGAGCAGCTGTGACGATGATCTCTTGGACTAGGTGTATGGCCATTTCTCACATCCTGCTTCTTCACATGATTGCAAGAAACAAATGCATTCACGACACCTACTGTACTAGAATAATGGTCCTGGTACCGGTCTAATAAAAAGATGTTTCACCAATGCACATGTACGAGATGGTTGAAAATTACAAGCCCGGTCTCTTGTAGAAGCCCGGTCTCTAATATAAGCCGGGGGGTCCGGACTGGTTGAAAAATATAAGCCCGGAGCATATAATGGAGATACTACGGTATGTGGATATGTGCTGACACTCACCTTAGCAGCGATGGAACAGCACAACACATTCATGGCCATCAGCCAGCATACCCAGGGTTCTTTACTGGACAAAAGCTGCAGTAGTGCAGGCAAAGAACACAGAATGAACGCCAGCACTATTAGCATGGGGAAAGACCCACGTACCATCGTATCCATTGCCAAAACTAGAAAGCAACATGTGCATGGCTTGTCCATAACCTGAGATCCCCGATTCAAATCCGCATAGTGGTTGCCACCTCAGAAGGAATTACTAGAATCTGATGTTGAGCAACCAGCCGAGGCAACAAATGACGGCGTACTAGAACTTGCACATAATCATTACACAATAGTCATTATACAATGAGTTGGTGGGAGTTGATGTACATGTACCTTGATCATTACAAGTTGTCAGTTTTGTGCATTTATCCGTTCTTAGACGTTCACGGAATCACCTACATCTAGGTTACATTGCAGTATCTTCTGAGAGCAATATCTACAGACCGGGAACAGCTGGTTCTTCACCACCAGCATAGCTTGACCTGAGTGTGGGGAATAGTCAAGCTGAAGATGTCGCAGCTGCTGGTTACGCTATGCCAGCAAGTAACAAAGGTTACGACACAGCCAACACAGCATGCTTTGTTTTCAGCTGCAATCTCCACTGTGCGTGCAGTGGGCGATGGGATAGGTAGGAACATGGCTACACCTCACAGCAGGTAGCTGTCTGATCACTAGCCTGTCTGGCTGCATGTGTTACTGTCTGATCACTAGCCTGTCTGGTTGCATGTATACAGACTGAAAGGTGCTAGTATCTAAATAATTCCTCGGAGACAAAAATGCTACAACCTAGAATCTAGCACCTGAAGTGTCTCTTTCTAACTGTTTTGGTATCTTAATGGGTGACCATTTATATTAGCTTGCCGGTGGGTCTATACTCCACAGCTTGGACTATGATGCACGCACGCACACACACACACACTCACACGCACACACATACACACACGCTTTAAAGTGTGCAGAACAGTGTGCATTGCTTACCTGAAAGACCTGGGGGAAATTGCTTGCTGGATAGTTCTTGTATAGCAAAACTGGAGAGAACGCACGGGAAAAAGAACGGTCACAAAGCAACACAGGCAGACAAATAAAATTAGCCTCTCGTATCAATCGAGTAAACGGAATAGCATGACGGCTTTCTGATTAATTCGCTGCTTGGGATCCAGGTTGAACAAAAACAGATGTGACATACATGTATGACTTCCTCAAGGGTGGTGACGTTCCTGCGGATGCGGAAAACTCGGCTAGAGGAGTCTCACGCGAATCGTGATTTTTGCACTAACATGAACAAAGTGCTGGTCAAAACAAAACAAAAAAAATTTAAAAGTCCGGACGAGAGCAACACACTGCCATTCAGAAAATGGCATAGTAAAACAAAAGAGGGTAGCAGTTTCCAAGCTTTGATAAAAGGTTACCGTATTTCCACAAATAGTAGGCCGGTCTACTATTTTTTCAACCTTGTCCTAACCCGGCCTTATAATCGAGGACGGTCTTGTATTCAAGGACGGTCTTTTATTCTTTCAACCCAGTTTGACCCCGGTCTTCTATTTCTCGCCACACAGTTTTACCCCCGTTCTTCCATTTTCTTCTACACAGTTTGAGCACGGTCTTCTATTTTTAACACCAAAACAAAAACTCATTTAGTAGACCCGGTCTTCTAATCGGAGACGGTCTTTTATTTTTTCAATCGCCCCCTGCCCCGGCGTTGTATACGAGGACGGCCTTTTATTTGCGGAAATACGGTATTCCCTAGTCACATAGCCAGTCCCACAAGTGATAGATCCTGCAGGAGATCATCACATGATCTTCAAGGCTGCAGCTCTCCAGTGACCCAGTCGCCACATAAATTGATCCCATATGTGATTAGCCATGTGCTCAGGGACCGGTGCGGCCAAAGCGGCACCAACGATTTCATCTTGTGAATTTTTGAAGCAATTAAATATGGGCTATTTGAGCCCAATTTCCAAAACATTTCCAGGCGGACGGCCCCCAGACCCTCCACCTATTCATGTCCGCAGCAATGTTGAATACCTTCCGACACCTCTGTTAGCCATGTGCTCGGGGAACAACCTCTACGCCATCGTAGTACACAGGCTGGACTATGGGTACAGTGGCAGTGCTAGTGCAGGGCTAGTGCAGGGGTACGGGTGCAGGGCTAGTGCAGGGCTAGTGCAGGGGTACGGGTGCAGGGCTAGTGCAGGAGTACGGGCGCAGGGCTAGTGCAGGGGTACGGGTGCAGGGCTAGTGCAGGGGTACGTGTGCAGGGCTAGTGCAGGGCTAGTGCAGGAGTATGGGTGCAGGGCTACACTGCACTTACATCTGTATCCACCAATGCAAAAGCTCAGGTTGGTCAGGACCAGCGTCATCAGCAGAAAGACAAACAGGCGCATGTTCAGATAACCAACGCAGCGGTTGAGCCACAGGCAATGGTGGTCAAAGTTCTCCACGCACACTTCACATAGCCGACAGTGCTTCGTAACTGGAGGAGGGACAATCTGAAATCAAACATGGCAAGAAGATAACAGTCATAACACAGAGAGAACATTGAACATCATCCGCTTCAAGTTTGAGTCGGAGTGTATGACTCCTGCAAGCAAGTGGGGAGCCTCACGAAGAGTGTTTTAAAATACCATCAGGCAGAGTCTGCTCATTTAGCGGCGGGATGAGAGCAAACAGGTTATGACAACTCTTGAGAACGTCATGCTCTAAGGAAATCTTCAGGTGACAACGTCAGCAGTCAGCTGGGAACACGGCTTACTGAGCATTTGCTGCAAAACTTCAGCTGGGCAACCGTGTCTGTGGAGATGTCTCCAGCAACATCCTCAATAGCCTGAACACAGGTTAAAACAAAACAAACAAAAACAAAACAAAAACAGGAAGATGTTGGTAAGGGCAGGCGACGAGACAATCAAGTACTTTTGATTTCAAATCTACAGCAGGTGTTGAGCTGGTGGCAGACTTCTTTTCAAGAACGTACGCGGATGGTGCAAAACAGTGCATGTTTTAGCGCTCCTTTATTGCTTTTTCGGATGAATTAGGAGGACCATCCTGGACGAAAAGTGGTACAACCCTGGTCGTACAGTGTGTGACGGCCCTGAATGAAGTCGATGGGGAGTAGCATATCAAGAAGGAAAACCGGAGAAAAACAGGAGAATGAGAATTATTACATGTACATGTGGTATCGTGTACCCATACTTACATAAGGCGTGCCATCCTTTTTCAAACAGGGGTCTTGACAGAGGCCAGGATCTTGACGTAGAATTCGCCTACACAAACCAGCAAAGGATATACCGGTATAGTCTTTTGGTAATGTGCTATTCAGAAAAGTTATAGGCTAAAATCCACGGGAACGTACATGAGAGCTCCAAGAAGGGCAAACCACGCACGCACGAACATGCATACACACCCCCACACACACTCACACTCTCACACACACACACACACACATACACACCCACCCCCACCCCCCCCCCCCCCCACACACACACACCCACACCCACACACAAGTGACACACACATACACACAGGCACACACACGCAGGCACACACGCAGGCACACACACACACACACACACACACACACACACACACACACACACGCACCCACCCACACACACGCAGGCTATCATTGATACCCCAAATCCCAGACAACAGCTGTCCATGCGAACAGCAGAGTCACGCCATTCTTCGTTACATGCACCACCACCTGTACGTTGACAGACACTGCTCATGGATGCATATAATGTACGACAGAACTGTGTGGGTGGCACTCCTAAGCGATCCACACCATCACTTTCATCCAGTCAATGACAGTGACTGACAATCATATCTACGGATACTCACCAAACGACAATGGAAATTAGAGCTGCAACTGACCAGTTGTAGATAACACCGAATGAGAGACCCTCATGTTCATAGAACACTGCAGCACAGAATAACAAGAACAATGCGATGCAGTGGCATAAGGATGGAGCAGTGAGGCTGCAACTCAAAATGTACACGCTCATAACACAATCTTTGCTTTTTACTTCAAAGTACATCCACTGCCGCGGCTGCAATACAATAAAAAATAAACCGAGCAATGAGCCCGAAAGCGTGCCATTTGGACTCAACCCATCATTCGGAGAGCACTCAAGTACACATTATGAATAAAACACACAGCATAATAATGGTACAGCAGTAGAAAAAGGATACAGACAACTGGGTAGGCCTGGATTTCAAACAAACAGCACTACACAGTGTACATGCCTACTCCTCCTTTTTCCTGATTATTCCATTAACCGGACTCTTGTCTCGAAGGTGAAGCAAGTAGCTGGGAAAGGGGAGTTAGAGTATATCACTAAACAACAATGACAATGCAGTGAAGACATTGATGATTTCTCAATTTGGCAAGCAAAACTCTGAAATTACAGCATGCGCACCACCATTTTCTCTCTACTGGAATGAACAACACATGTAGGGCTTATCGTAGCCAGTGTCACCAAACTTTCCACGTGTCCCTTTCGAGCACACTCCGACACGCACTGTCCCACCTACCTGGACTAAGATGAGCAATGAAGCAGAGCAGCGAGTGAAAGACGCCAGCGAGGAATGTGCCCAGCATAAGCGGACTCGGCCAGCGGGATACGTGGTTGACACGTGTCATGTCACGGAACGCTCGCACGAACGCCACCGGCGCCAGGATGGCGATGAAGAAGGTCAAGTAGTCAGGGAGATGGCACAGTGCAATGATGAGCAGGGTCATACAGACAGGCGTGAAGCTCAAGTGCAGCAACCAATGGTACCACGCATGGTACATTCCCATCTTCACCCAGGTCAATAGCTCAACAGCTAGCGTCTTACTTCTGCACAGCAAAGAACACAACCACCCACAGAAATGTTCACACACACACACACACACACACACACACACACACACACACACACACACACACACGCACGCACACATGCAGACAGACATGCAGACAGACATGCAGACAGACATGCAGACAGACATGCAGACAGACATGCAGACAGACATGCAGACAGACATGCAGACAGACATGCAGACAGACATGCAGACAGACATGCAGACAGACATGCAGACAGACAGACAGACAGACAGACAGACAGACAGACAGACACACAGACACACACACACATCATGTCATGAGAAAACAAACCAAGAAACAACATGTGTAAAGTCTCACTCGCGTATGGGTCTACCCGTGTGTATGTGGCCTTTGTGGAGCATTGTTTCTGTGTTACGCATGTGCTGGCTAGCGAAATGCAACACTTTTGTCCGGGAGCCAAGCTTCAAAAAGTGACGGTCCGTGTCGGGCGAGATCGAGTAAAAAATCTCTCCAGCAATGGGTTATGGGTCTATCAGAGAAGGGCTTTTGAGTTCTTGGCCACCCCAAAGCTGTGCACGGACATCGGGAGGACGCATTTTGTTAGACGAGCAAAATTCACAATTGTCAGGCATTTGGGCGCAAATATTTTCGTTCTCAGCCGACTTCCACGTTTGAGAAGTAGATGCGTACGTTCAAAACTTTATAATCAGTGACTACTTCTGGTAGTTTAAGCACTCTCAGCGCTAGTACATCGAGCTGTCCTAGTGTCTGTGGTTCTCGTAGCCATGGTTGACAGTTCAATCCTTAAGCTCGAAGTTGCACTGATGAGGCCTCATTGGCCGAAACAGTCTGGCTGTCTGCATCATTGAGTAATCAGTGACTGTGCACCAGTGCAAAAGATGACAACGCTGCAATGGAAACGCTATCTATCCGATGGGCAAACGAAATGACATTGATTTCCGTCATCAACCGTGACTGGAGAGCTAGCGAGACACTCCCACAAAAGCTGAAACGTGACCAGAAAGCTATTTCGTCAGTGAAGAAGGACGGCTTCCAGTTCACTGCCCCTGCACCTGGGACATCCTTGTTTACATGCACCGCTGTTCCCGAACTCACCAGCTCCCATGAGCAAGCTGACACGCGGCTGCTGTTTGCACGCTGCTCACGTATTCCAAGGTCAACTACACGTACCAGTTACCTGTAGCTGCTATCAGTTCCCCCGACACAGATGTTGTGGTGGTGGCAATTGCGTTGTGCCACGACTTGCAGGGAAAGGTGATTTTCAAGACAGGACGCTAGCAGCAGCGCGCATGTTTGGTGGACATCAACAAGATAGCTGAAGCACTGGGCAGCTCTACTTGCCGCACTATGATCGGTCTCCATAGGTTCTCCGGATGTGATTCTGTGAGTGCATTCGTGGGGAAAGGAAAGAAAGCTGGTCTGGAGCTGGTGAAGAAAACCGCACAAGCCTCTGAAACAATGCAACATCTCGGCCAGGATTTCAGCCTCAGCAATGACCTGGAGAAGAGCTGTGAAGCGTTCACGTGCCTACTATACGGGGATAGTAGCACCTGTGACGTTGGTAGTGTTTGCTATAACATGCTGTGCAAGAACACAACCACCCCGCAAGGGATGCTTCCGTCATCGGCTGCTCTCAGGCAGCATTCCAGAAGGGCAAATTACCAATCTACTGTCCGGTGGCACGCCTTCCAGCCAGAACCAGAAGTCGAATCGCCCGATGGAAACGGTTGGCTGATGGACAAAGGTGGCAAGCTCTCTGGCAATGTATACGCTGCCTGTGAATGCTAGTGGGGATTAAACATGGCTGACTGCATGGCCAGCATGAAGCACCACTGTCACTACCCATACCTGAAGAAATGATTGATTTGATTCTCTGCTCCTATGAAATAAAGCTGTGCGGACCCTGGCTAGCACCAGACGTTACTGAAGTAACGTCTTTTGCATAGCTACGGGAACTAAAGGTAAGTTGACGGTTAACTGGACTGAGCAGCAGCCAGCACCCAAGCAATTGCTCAGCATAATCAGTTGCAAGTGCCGCAAAGGATGCAGCAATGGACGCTGCTCATGCAAGGTGCCATCGCAACCTTGCCCAGATGTCTGCCGATGCAAGGCACAATGTGACAACCCTGCCAACATCATCAGCACAACTCCGCAACAAACAGATGCCGCGGATGGCAGCGCCGCAGGTGTTGAAGCCATGGCTGGATGACTGTGATGTGGAGGATGCCCATGATGACCTCCATGAAGACAATGGTCATAATTCGGACGAGCCAGCACATAATCCACCAAGCTCGGGAACCAGTGACACCAGCGGTTCAGATAGTTCGGACAGTGAACTCAGTGCACACTCTGGGCCTGAGTCTGATGTAGAGTAATTGTTACACTTCTAAATATTAGAAGGCAAGACAAGTTTCACAACACGGATAACTTGAGATGTCATGTTGCCTCGCTGTGTAGGAGCTTGTGTTGATGCATGCATCTTCAAACTTTGTTCAAAGGATGCACAGTACTGATGTGCTACTGTCATAGAATTACTCTTTCCTTATCATCCAAAACAATAATAGACATACTTATATTGGGTGTAAAGGGGTGCAAAAAGTGAGAAATCAAACAAAACATGGACTATTTTAAAATGATTTTGCACTTTTTGCACTCCTTACACCAGATTATTGTGCGAGTAATAAGTACTAGTATTCATTTCGCACATACTACTTGTAATCTCTTTGTACACTTTTTGTGGGAATGGTGACGTCACATGCCATATCTATGGCCTTTCTCTATCAAAATGCATGTGATTCAGAGTTACGGACATTTCGAAGTTACGGGCAGTGCCCAGTCCCAGACCGCCCGGATAAACGAGGTAGGAGTGTACATAAAAGAGTGGATGAAGCATGAACAGAATACTCCCGTGATCTAGAACAGCTGTCGTGGTACATGTCCGTATCAAGGATACATCCCTAAGCTGCTTCAACACACAACTCTCCGTCCAATGGTTGACTGGCATTAAATCGAGTATAGTGATGTAAGTAAAGCACTAGTTACTGGTGAAAACAATCGCCTTGATGGAGACTGACAGTTGCCACATGATCTGCCTGTCACCATCAGGGTGGACTGGTATGTCGCAGTTTATTATTGTTTATAAGAAAGAAAAAGGACCAAAGAGCTAAAAGTTACGCTACAATGTCCACTAACATCACCAGTTACTAAACAATCAGCTCATGCGATAACATTGCACGACACTGACCGACGATACTGACGTTCCACAACTAACTGGCTAACAGCTCTAGCACAACTTGGATGCGTCTTTGGTCCTTTTTCTTTCTTAAAAATTAATCCTTGGCTCTCCATCCGAGTCCATTCCTGCACACCTGATGAGCCGTCTTTATTATTGTTATTATGAAATTTTTGACAGTTTACAACAGGAAACTTCCATGAATGCCTGTCCTTCTCGAAGTGAGCAATATAAAATATTTCAAAACACTTCTATGGATCACTGGCCTCGAGCGAAGGTCTCTGGTTTGAGTCCTGGTGGTGATAGTCAATTTTTTCTTCAGACTTTTCCCGTTCGCATCTTTCCCTCAAACCAATGAATACTTCTATGGACAATGTTATTTTTATGCTTCGGCTTGTCTTTCTCGTTTCGAAAAATTCACCAAATTTGGTCCTCAGCTTGAATAATGTATGCTTGCGTCATGGAAACGTGTTGATTTTGGCCATTTCCACGCTCACATAAACGGCGCAAACATTGTGAAATCACCTCAACGAAATAGTGATTGACAGGCGAACAAACCTCCTTGCACCAGCGTTGGTGCACAGCTTCGGAATGGCCAAGTTCTTAGATCGTCCTCTAGAGGCTCTTACCTAAGCATGTGCGAAGTTTCAAGTCCTCCCTCTGAAGTGGCGCATACATGTACGTCGGAAAAAAAAGCATCCTACAGATTTCGGCTCCCGTATTAATTGCAGGAAAATAAATGCCACCATATACAGTAATGTAGCGTCTCAACATGAGCACACAGATTCACAAGTTCGTGCTCACGTCGAGTGCAAACACAAACACAAACGTACAGCTTGTGTGACGTGTTGACCCGAGTACATGTATGCAGCTACGTGCATACACGTAGTGTCTTGTATTTAAAGCCTGTCTCGTATAGAAGCTTGATTTTCAAGATGCACTGGCGGCACATAAGCCTGGTTTCAGTGTTGACGTACATAGAAATACCTGGTTCGAATAGAAGCCTAGCTTGAGCAGCCGAGTCACGCAAACCGTGATTGCTTTAGTAGAAGCCTAGCTTGAGCAGCCGAGTCATGCAAACCGTGATTGTTTTAGTACAAGCCTAGCACTGGCATCGGCTTCTACAGGAATAAGCCAGGCTTTAAATACGTGATATTAGTATCATCATATTACGTTAATTAAACTACTAAAACATTCAAAGCCCAAGCTAGACAACCAGTCACCCAGTCACCCAGTCACTTGGTACCCATGTGGCATGATCTGCTGTGGCTTTGAAAGATGCAGGCATCAGCAGACCTTTCCAGCTTTGGAGTACACCACCACCATATAGCCATACAAACAGGTAAGATGGCAATATAAGAGTCACCACAACACCACCACCAGCAGCAGCAGGGATAATGGCATGCAGCATAGACACTAATAACCAGTGTACACGAAGACAAAGTAGCAGGCATGCATCGCTTACCCTGGCCGCTTTGCTCGCTGCACCAGAAACTGAGCCGTGTGTCCATTCCGATCTTCGACTTGTAACAGCTCGGCACGGTTGCTTGCGGCGCATATCAGTCGAAAACAATTAGTTCTGCAGCAGAGCACACCAGCGCAATAATGAACCATCAACAATGGGACTGTGAAAAGATACAATGCAGATCTACCGCCAAACAGTAAACACCTATCCACGTTACACCATTGTACTGTATGAATAAGCAGTGTGCACGCTACGGAAACCAGCAAGGGAAATGCATGTGTAGAGCCTGGAGTTCATTATCACTAAGCATTTGATCCAAGCCACATACCTGTTCATTGCTTGAGCTGCATAGTGGAGAGGCGTTGATCCAGTTTTATCACGTTCTGTTAGACTATACACCTTTAGCAACAGCAGAAAACAGCAAAAGCAGCTTTCAATCAGCGTGCCTTGTACGCTGCTTCAACCAGCCACGCACAATAGATTAGCTTCCCAAATTGTACTCCGAAATGTACATGTATAGTCCTTGCTTTCTGGAATCCAGCTCAGGTATGCTGGTTCAGCAGTTGAAGTGAGTTTGTTGCTATTTTTTAGCGGAGAATTCTCGGCATGGATGAGCCTTGCGCAAAGCGACACTTAGCAAAACGTCTGAATAAGACAGAAAGAATCTCCTCGAGGATTCTATTTCAAAGAGAACAACGATGTCATACATGCAAACCCAGCCAACACCGTTCCCTTACACACATGTCCAGTTTCCCTCAGTTTCTTCTCGTTTTCCTTATTTTATTGGGTTTTGCCAAATTAATCCATTGTCTCCTCTTTTTTTGTTCGAAACCGTTTATTCTTCTTTCTTTTTTTTCGTTCGGTGCCTTCCCTTTTTTGTTGATTGAAAAGACAGCACGTAGCACTGTCGCATGTTTCGCATGCTAACGTTGCTTCATGTCATGGACTCCTCCAACTACAACAGAGAAATTGTGTGTATGTTCGCCGCACTTGTCACAATTATTTGCATTTCAAACACCAAAAAGAAGGCTTTCTTTGAATACTCGTGGTTCTGTGCCATTTCTCTTAGTTCTTCAAAAATTCCTGGTTTTCCGGTAGAATACGGGGAAACCGGTGTAGTTGGCAAATATGCGATGTCCACGGCTACTTGGGTAGCCGTTGTTCAATGAATACATGGCTGCAAAGGCAAGCCACACTTCCGGTATGACCCCGCTAGTATTCCTGCTCAAGATCTCTCAGCCATGCTGGAGACATTATACTGATGTGCGAAAGAGGGACGGGACCTAGTACAAGCACAATAGTCGTATAGCTGCTCGTTCCGCTCTCTCAAGACATTTCAACGAAGTTGGAAGGCACTTCGACATCGTCCACTGTCGATAGTTCACGCAAGCCCACAAGATGCTCGATGCTGTGGTGAAAGAGAAGCAGCGTACCGGCCACCAAGCCGCTGTTGTACACAAGAAGAATATTATACGATAACGACTGGGTGGCAAAGATGCAAGAGTACTTCGGAGACGTCCTAACCACCAACGAACGGCGAAAACTGGCCATGTATGTGTGGATTACGGCGATCTCCAGTCACTCGGCTGAGCATAGTATGGACGTGCTGCTAAACATGTTCCAGGAGAAACACCTTGCTAAAACACTGATACGAACAAACCTGTGTGCAACAAGCTGATAGCCAAAATCAAGAACACAATGACGGATAGATGCATAGTAAGTTAGAGAAGAACGTCAACAACCTACTGCAACGTTACCAGCCTGACATCATGCCAAAGTTTGTACGCGATGGGGAAGCGATACCTGAGGACGCTAAGACAAAGGCCACACAAATGAACAACTTCTTCTGTGGGCTCCATTACATTGTTGGCTTTACAGAACAGGCCCAGCAGTGCCTGGTGACATGGGAGAAAGCCAGCAAGTGGCAGCTGCAGCGGCGATGGCAGTGAATCCGGAACTCTACGCCCTGTGCACACTGCATGCAAGGCTCTCGAAGCTCATTGTAACGAGCAATCCGGGAACCATACTCAGTTTAAAGCTTTTCTGACCAACCAAGGCATAACAACAGTGCCCCTAGACAGTTTCGTTCCTTATGCCACCCAGTGAACAAACCTGCACGGCCCTGAGGACTGCTCTCATCGAACGGACTCAGAAATCAGAGCACAGCCGACTCCGAGAGTTATTGAGTAGCGTAGAGCTGGGTGACTAACCCCCCAGCAAGCTTCTGCGCCGCATGCAACGCCTGCTGGGTAACAAGGTTCTGGACGCGGCGCTCTTGCACGAGCTGTTTGTACAGCGCTTGCCGCCCACGGTCCGCCTGGTGCTTGCGTCGACGCCGTCCTCTCTAGGTCTCTCCGAGCTCGGGTGCACAGCGGACAAGGTGGCCAGCCCCATCTTGCTGCTAAACTCGCACCTCTGCATTCTATGCTTCAGCATTGCAATTGCAATCGGGGTGCGAAGGCATGGTTCTGTTCAGTGGAAACAACACCGGCAATAGGTTTGCTCAGTAAATGCCAGAGCGACGACATGAGCTCTTGGATGCTGCACTCAAGGGTGCTGCTGAACATAGAGATCTGTATCGCAAGCGTTGCACCGTAGTCGAGGCACATCATCGCCAAACCATCCAGGAAAGCAGAAACAGAAAGAGGAGAAAGAGAAATGAGACTTGCTGACGAAGGAAGCGCTAACAAAGGACATCAGCAAGGTCGGATTCTGGTCGTCTGCCAAGGACGTTACTGATAAACTCACTGCTATTCCGCTGTGCTCAAGGAAAATCCAAGCACTCAAGACCCAGATTCGCTTCCGCAAGGTGGTCCTTCAGCAAACGGCGGAGGACAAACACTACTCCAGAGGTCGACAGCACGTTCGACATGTACTATGGGACAGTTGTGACTTTTTGAGCTCCGCAGTGTTTTTTAAGCCCAGTCGACACTAGGCCAGTCTGGAGGTAGGTAGAACAGGCCCCTTGACGTGACAATGTCGTCTGAGGAGTCTCCCACTGCACCAGCAGATGTAGACCTTGCTGTGATGGACAACCAGGAGATCCGGCATCTCGCCAAGAGCCAAAGATTGGAACACTCGGGGACTTTCCCGTACGCAGATAGTCAAGCTGCTGAGAGAAAACGGTATTGGTATGTCGACAAGCTCAGGTCAATCTGACAAAGTGCGCAATGGGCGCGATGTTGTTCAGCAGGCATTGGCTGATATGGATTTCTGACTTGCAATTGGAGGTGTTGTCCCTTCGAGGAGAACTGGCGGCTCTCAAAGAAAGGAACTCCCATCCCCAGGATCATGAACCTGTACAAACTAGCACACCTGAAACTCATCCCGTACAAGTACAACCGCCTGCTGACTATACGCGCCTCGTTAGAAAAATGGCTGGAAACACCTCTCCCATGCAGGACTTGAACCAGACAGCTCTCACTTCTCATTCATGGTCGTAGTGAGTAGGGATCTCAGCAAACACGCTGTGTGATATCATACAAAAATCAGTGGCGCACGTGGTTGACCACGTGCGCCACTGATTTTTGTATGATATCATTCATGCGCAAAGGTACTAGTACATAGATGTGGCTAATGGGGCTTTTCCACTTGTGCCAGTAATCTCGTGAGATTTGATGTGATCCCCCCCCCCCCCCCACACACACACATACCGTTAGGCACTGCATCTGCCGCTGGGTTATTCTCGGCTATTCCGGGGGCTAGCGGCCGTCGCGAGTTCCCTCAGGAACAGAGATGAGATTTACTTTTAAGTAGGGATGGGAATACATTGTTAAAAAGAATATTTAAAAATATTCTTTTTAACAATGCATTCCCATCCCTACCACAACAAGTATATTTACAGCCATTGAGCATCTACCGTATTTTCCGGCGTATAAGCCGCACTTTAAACAGCAGTAATTCACCCCAAAAACAGCCGGTGCAGGTTATACTACGATGGTCAAATTAACGGTGATAAACAGGGTAGATGTCCGTATTTCTTAACACAAAAATCTGGGTGCGGTTTATACTCCGGTGCGGTTTATACTCCGGTGCGGCTTAAGCTCTGGAAAATACGGTACGTTAACAGCCGTTGAGCGTCTACTCACATTTTGCGCCACGAGGTAATCAACAGTCTCCGTGTACTTGGGATGCCGTGCAGCAACATGAAGAGGACTGGACTTCCTGGTGTACAGAGCACAGGCAAGCCGGAACAACAACAGAGACAAGTCACGAGGTGATCCAAAACAAACTACATGTAATACATGCCAGTGCTAAACTACACTGCTAATTAGCTAGCCATCTAGTAAAAGCTGAGACTGTTAGAAAAGGCATGCAATCATACAGATCTTTTGAACAGGTTTCCACTGAGAACTCGAGCCGTACATGTAACACATGCGTATCATCTTAACAGTAGATTCACAACAGAATCTCATCTCTCAACTGGGCAGCAGGCAATCGGGTAAGTAGCATACTAGCAGCCACACCAGCAACCATGTCAGCAGCCCCACCATCAGCCGCATCAGCAGGCACATCAGCACACACATCAGCAGGCACAGCAGCAGGCACATCAGTGCAGCAACACACTCTAAGCCAAAGTCTTACTGGTTGTCATGGACCAGGAGAGAAAGATCAGCTACATACTGCAGGTAGTGTACAATGATCCTGTGCACAAGACACATGACGCAACAATATGGCATGCTGACAGTGTAAGGACAACAACCGACCAACCAGCTTGCACATTGCTTCAAAAAATTTAATAATTATTACGAATCATATCTGGCTACACCAGAGCTGAGTTTCTGCGCCCCTGCTACCTTCCGAAAATCTTGTTCCGACTGCATTGGGTACCTAGAAAAAATGGCAGCAGTCGGTTGGGTTGCCCAATTCAAATAAAATACCAGTACTAGTACTCATACTACAGTCGTGGTCAAAGAAATCCGACCCACTTCTGTTTCAATTACATCATACGCGCTCCAAACACCTCTGAGGGCTGCAGGGGCCACATGAGCCTTGGCGCTGCTTTCGGCACGTGGGTCGAATTTCTCTGGCCACGGCTGTACTACTAGATAATCGTCCATGGCAAATTCCAAAGAAAGGGAGAGGAATGCAATTTTGCAAATGCAGACAGAATACGGATGACCTCCGCGAAGGAGTACATACAGTGAGTTGAGATAGTACATGTGCAGTGGTGCACATGGCTCCATCAGTCCATACTACACATGCTCACAGGGCATAGGCAATCTGGTACTAGTACATATAGCATGGCGTGCACGACATCACAACTTACGGCGAAGAGCTGAATGCAGCATAATGCATGCAACCACGGCCGTCCTCATCCACTGCCTCCATGTCGCAGTCATTCTCATACAAGAGATGAACAATAGACAACGCGCCAACCTACGGAAGCCAGCAAAGATCACAGACATGCAATGCTCAGTTTTAGGGGTCAAGGTAAAGTGCTCCTGGCTCTCAGCTACACCAGAAACAGAAAATAAACTCTGGTCAGCTGTATCATGACTGCACTGCTGGTGCTGCCAATTCACCACATTGGACGTGTAGCCAGGGAATCGGGAAAATTGACTCAAACTGGAAACCGGTGTCCCCAGCACTCTAGTACCGCAAACATTGGGTGATCAAACTCTAGACTGATACCTGTTTGCTATCAGCACTCTTTGTTTACAGGTAGCTTCCCGCAGCACCTCTATGATCACTACTTACAATACTATGCAGGCATGCACTTTGCAAAAGTCCTTCCCGCAGCACCTCTATCACTACTTACAATACTATGCAGGCATGCACTTTGCAAAAGTCCTTCCTAAAGCACTGACATCCCATAAAGGTATAACAGACGGCAAGGTATAGAATAGAATAGATGTAGAATGGATTTGAAACTCAAGCACGGCTGTTTAATGGTAGAATAGTGGTGGTAAAGACACACCTGGCAGAATGGCGGTAAATACATACCTCTCTCGCCCCCCCCCCCCCCCCCCACACACACACACACTCTTTAACTGCAAAGTTACAATCTGGCAAAGAGTTCCCATTCTTCTCTTTTCACCATTATCAGTAGCTGTCTCACCTTCTACGTGCCAAGTGCTAACTGATGCACCAGCCTGCTATGTATACACCAGAGATCACGAGCCATGTGTCGACTAGGCACCAGGCGCAGACTGCTGATAGCGGTGGTGAGAAAAGGAGAGCTCTTTGCCATTATTGTTACCTTGCAGCTGAGAGAGCATGCTCGGACAGCCGTGTATTTACAGCACCATTACTGCGCATGTGTCTTTCCCACCATTACTGCGCATGTGTCTTTCCCACCATTACTCTATCATTGAAGAGAGGTGTTTGAATGTGCAATGATGTTTAGTAGTGGCAGGTTGCACTTTGGCTCAGGCGAGTGGAATGAAATGTTGAGCTGCTGTCCTCCTACGAGTGCATATGACAATAGTATAGTATTATGCCAGACTTGGGTAGAATGTGCTTCCTGCATAACACATTCTGTTTCGGTGGTTCCTCGAAGTGATAGCCTCTGGTTACAACGTACTTTGAAGTACCTTTTGTTGCTTCTGGAGAAAATCTACCTGTCAAATGATTGTCAATAGGCCAAGGGAGAAATTGAAGCCAGAGTCGAGTTGTGACCGACCAATTGGGCAATTCCACCCACATTTATATTATACAGGTGTGCATGGCGAAGTGTGTATGGTGACTTTTGTGACTCGCATCACAGCAAGCATTAAAGGGGAAGTATACCCTAAAATCAATTTTTCACCAGTTGTAGTCTTCTGGGTGCTGAGTCGAATGGTCTTGGTCCGAGGAAGCTGCGACGCTCCCTTCCTACTTGAATCCCAATCGAACTCGCGCACTTCCACCGAAACTGGGTGACTGCGCCCTACTAGATGGGGATTTGTATGCAAAATGTCACTAAAAGCGCCATTTCGTTCTTATAAAAGCACGGATGACCGCGATTGGCCCATATGTTGTAGTCTTTTGGACGCTGAGTCGATTGGTTTTGGTCCGAAAAGGCTGCGATGCAGCGTTCCTCCTTTATTCCCAATCGAACATGGTTGAACAAGCGGTCACGTGCTCCTGGGTGCCCAAATCACCTGGTCACCGCGCCAGCAGGCGACAACTTTCACACCAAGGTTCAACTCGAGTTCAACTCGAGTGACAGGACTGCACCCAAAAAAGGTCAAACAGGCTAGTAAGTTGTACCCTGCAGGCACGGTGACCAGGTGACTGGTGTACGCAGGAGCACGTGACCGCTTGTTCAACCATGTTCGATTGGGAATAAAGGAGGAACGCTGCATCGCAGCCTTTTCGGACCAAAACCAGTCGACTCAGCGTCCAAAAGACTACAACATATGGGCCAATCACGGTCATCCGTGCTTTTATAAGAACGAAATGGCGCTTTTAGTGACATTTTGCATACAAATCCCCATCTAGTAGGGCGCAGTCACCCAGTTTCGGTGGAAGTGCGCGAGTTCGATTGGGAATAAAGGAGGAAGGGAGCGTCTCAGCTTCCTCGGACCAAGGCCATTCGACTCAGCACCCCGAAGACTAAAACTGGTGAAAATTTGATTTTAGGGTATACTTCCCCTTTAACCATACTCAAAGAATATGTTGAGCCGCTCGACATATTGGGCGCATATATGAGCTAGGTACAGTATTCGTGTGAGGCCAGCCCTGCCTACAGAGTAACCCAGATGCAATAAGATCGGGCGCCGAAGAACGCAAGGGCTTAAGACCAGTCAAGTACCATTCTAAAATGTTAACAACTTGAGCCATTTCGTTCTTATTTTGCGATCATGGAGAGCAACATACGATGCGATCACGCAACACGGAAAACATGTAGAAAACCATACACAGTACAGTCATGCACATACATACCGGTATATGTTCTTAAAAGTGTTCTTCGCAGCCTGATCTCACTGCACTAAGGTTTCTTCTCCCTTGCCCGATTGGGTTAGTGGGTATGATATCATATCAGGGCTTCACTGCAGTTATTCCACGCGAGGTTAAAAAGGCCACGCGCTGCGACACA